CATATCATGTACCTAGATCCTCACTGCGTTGTTAGGTACATAACTCAGTCGTTCTATCCACCCGACTGAGATCCTCACTGCGTTGTTAGCACCTGCAGCAGACAATATTCTTCGACTCGCTGTCTCCGCACTTAGCCTCGCCGCTACGCCTGCCCGTGGAAGAACCACACACCTGTTCGAGCCCATGCTCACGATGGCACTCGCCGGAGGGCCAATGAACGCGATCCCCTCCAGCGCGAGTCGCTCCGCAAAGTCCGCGTTCCCGCTCAAAAAGCCGTAACGTGGGTGTACATCATGCTCAAGGTGGGTATATGCGCAAAAAAAACTGCGAACACGTACCTGCACGCCGCTTCGACTGTGGCACACTTCCACGATCGTGTCTATGCGCAGCGGGTACTCAAGTCCATCTCTTGAGGACAACATGCGCATACAGTAGAGAAAGCACTCACGTGGCTCTCCGCGGACGACGCGGGTCTGATACAATACACCTCATCCGCCTACATCCGCGATTCAATCCCCCACGATTTTCTCTGCTGTCTGGGGGAACGTACGAGCTTGACGCGAAACGAGTCCGTGTCCACTTGGCTGAATACCGTGACGGTCTTGACCCCGAGCTTCCGTGCGGTGCGTATCACGCGGCATGCGGTCTCGCCGCCAGAGGGAGGAACTTGTCGTGCTCGGAGGTGTATCTTGAAACACAGGACTTAAGCTTGCTGGTTTGCAATGATACACAAGAGCGGCTTACGGATATCCCTCTGCAGCACCTCGGTCTGCCCATCTGCAGGAGGTCACGGGGCTATTGGTATTCGGAGGCTCGAAGAAGACAGAGGGGATTCGTACCAATGCATGCGTGCTTGCGACTGATGACCTGCAGAGGAGCGCGTCGTTCTTCACGGTGCCGCGGTGCGCGTTCTTGAAAATTTTGTTTCCAACCAGCGACGAACGGGCGAGCGCAGGGGGCTCTGGCGATATGGGGGGCGCGACCAGCGACCGGGATAGTATCCTCGTGAGCATGTGGAACTAGTGTTGGAAGGTTCGGTGCAGGTCTGGGACAAGGGAATAAGACGACCACGGTCGTGGCAGTCCAAGGGGCCGCGCTTTAGATTAGATTACGGCGATTTCTGAAATGATTAATGATTGCCCGACCAACTCCGACGTTGCTACGCGAGCGGCAACAGGCACGATTCGCCAGCTGATCGATACATATCCGCCACGTCCGCAGGAGGGAGGTTGTCCAGCACTCACTCGCAGCCCAGGATGGCGCTCGGACCGCGTCTGTGCGAAGACGAGCTGGACCAGATCCTCAGCTTCCTCGACCGCCAAGATGCGCTTTCCGTCGCTCTCGCCTCCAAAACGCTCTACGTCCTCGCCATGCCATATATCATCGCCTACGCCCGCCTGCCCACGGAGCCCACCATGGCTCGGTTCTCAGACGAGAACTACTTCCTCCTTGCCCACGACGAATTCCTTCCAACCCCTCGCTCAAACTACGCTTGGCACTTCTACTTACCTGCCCGCACGGCTCCTGCTGAGGACGCTGTGGAGTCGGACGTATGGACCTCCCGCCGAGGAAGTAAGCGCCACGTCCGCCGAGTCCTTGCGGTGCTCAAAGAACTCCCTCATCTGCGCTGGATAACCATGCCAGGTACCGAAGAATACGTGCGACGAGCTCCCCTCATTCTGGACATCCTCGGCACCATGACCCACCTAACCGCCCTTCGCCTCCTCAACGTGTCCACACTCACAGTCGCTTTACTGCCCAAGGCGCTCGCCCCGCTCGCCCCCACCCTCCGTTACCTCTACATCTCTTTAGAATGGTCCGAGCCGCCTATGTTAAACAGCCACTTCTCGCACCTGTTCTACGCACTTTCCACCTTCCATTGCCTCACCAAGCTGGCCGTCGTCTCCGACTCCCCGTGGAAGCCGCTGCTCGCAGACAACCAACTGGGGTCCCCTTTCCCCCTCTTTGCGCCACTCCCAAACGTCCGTCACCTCACTTTGCTCTCATGCCCGATGGAGATCGTCCCGTTCTGCCCAAGCATCATCGACCTCCACGTTGAGCAGTGTAATGCGCCCCTCGAACTCGCCCTCACCCGCCATGAGTGGCCAGCCCTCCGCACGCTCACATGCGACTTCCCGTGGGCCGGAGCTCCCGCTCAGCTTGCTGTCCCGTGTTCCTTATCGTGCCGCCCACCTCCCCACATCGGCCGGCTCTGCGTATTAGGCATATCGGTCGGGGTGGACACGTCCGACCTGGAGCCGAGGAGGGTGCTCGGTCCTCTTCTCGAGCTGCTCTCGGGCGCGGCGTCAGGCCTGGAGCTGGCTGTGACCGTGCGACCCGCCCAAACGTCTCAGCCGCCCACGGAGCTGGAGAGGCCGCTGTTGTGGCCGCGGATGGCTGGACATCTGCGGACACTGCACCTCACCGTCCTGTGCGACATGATGTGCTCAAGCATGTTCTCGGAGCTGATGGTACGTCCCTTGTCGTGACATCTGTGTCCTTAGATTCCTTGCATACTCACGTCTGCGCTCGCAGACAACGCTGGTCACTGTGCTTTCGACCGTGTCCCCCGTCTATTTCAACGCCACACTCAATCCGAAGCCAATCCGCACCTACGGCAGTGACATTGCGAGTCAGAATGGCGACTTCACCGTCGAGCTCGAACGCGTCCGCGCCCTGCGTGAGATACTCCCAGCCGCTCTCGCCAACGCGGCTCCGACGCTCCGCGTTCTCGGCTTGGGATCCTGCGCGGTCTCTGAGGGGATGCTCCCCCAGATCGAGAAGCACCTTTCGGATTCCCAGGAGAAAGGCACGGGCGACGATGCAGAAGCAGACCAAGACGCGCAGACGTCGAGCACCCTGTGCGCGGCGTTGCACCGCATCGCTCAAGAGCCGCTCAGCCGTGCCCATCGGTGGTGGTGGATCGAGCAAAGTGCAGGTTCTGTCGACGCCGTCGAAATCTGGCGTGAGGTTGGGGAGCGGGCACGCGAAATGGCTGAGCAGAAGGATTTCGATCTCAACACCGGCTTCGATGGTGAGTCGTTCCCGGGCGGCTGCGCCGGTCGATGACGAGCATTTTTTGCAGGGTTCTTCTCCGAGAAGTGCATCTACCAGCCGTAAGTCGAATCCTCCCGCTCCACGTGATCGCGGCATCACAATGTTTTGAATACTTGTATCCTCGGGAATAGCCACAAATATGTGCGTATTTGAGCAGTTACAAGTTTCTTTGGGGCTCCGTACATGCCCACCACGGACAACCGGGCAGCCGGGCAGCCGGGCGTTGCTACCGTTCGAAATCTCTCTCCGCGCAAACTTGCCATAGTCCACACACATCCCGACTACAGCGTATGGCTCCTACCGCAAGTACGCTAGGGGCGCGTCCGCAGGTTCGTAGCTCATCTGCCCCCAAGCCAACGCCCTCCGCAGCGCGATCGCCTCTTCTCGCACCGCCGCGAGCTCTTCCGAGTCCGTCGGAGCGGGCGAGCGTCGTGCTCCGGGTGAGGGAGCTGGTGTGTGTATGCGACAGAGGGATGAGGGTATGATAGCCGGATGGTGGTAGCACTCGTGACATGCTCTACTCGGTCCTTCCACCTTGCCAGATAAACTTCTCGCTGAAACCGTATCCCTTCGATATGTAGCAAGGCAAATCATCTCCACCATAACACGTGGTGCCTGAGAGTGTAGGTGCGACGCTGAAGGGAACGGTATGAGAAATGAAGTCTATGCAGACGAAAAAGATTCATACGATGTGGTTGGAGACAAACACCTGTTGACCTGTTCCTCGAACACGCGATCCGGGATGCTCTCGTTGCCGTAGACGGTTCCACGTGGAGATATCGCGGTACGGGCGCGAATGCAGCGGCTGTAGACAACGGCGAGAACAATCCCGGAGATACACAAAGTGATACCTCCACAGACACCGTCTGCGATGGTGCTAAGGTCAGATGAGGACGATTGCATCCCACTGATGGCAGCGTTTGGTGGAAGTGGTGTAGTGGAAGACGATACAGAGGGTAGAATTCGGGAATGCCACGTTGTGATGATGGAGGTGATGGAATGAGTCGGAGCTGTGATCGTATGTTTTGGTGGGCCTGAAGCGTCCGAGTGAGCCGTGGAAGACGTCGAGGACAGCGAAGGAGTTGAGCCGAGGATGGACGATATGTTCCCCACAGGAGAATCAGCTTCGAGAGCGGTGTAGACAACGTTGTCAAAAAGCATGAGTGATGCTTCATTCCCGATGCTTTTGATCTCAGGAGAATGGTTTCGAAGCGCCAAATCGGTCTGATTGAATACCAACTGCTGGTATAGAATGTCGTTCGTCGTGTCCGGTTGATGCATGAACTTCCCCCGCTGGATCCCGTCTATGGAAAATGCAAGATTTGTAGCTGTGACTGTGTTCTCAAGTTGGTTTGCCAGTATCATATAAGTACACCCATACCGCCGTCCCGTTGAATGTGATCGCGATCGACTGGTCGCCAGTCTCCCTGTGGCCAGGATACCACGTCGAGTCGTGCCAGGTGCGGTTGAACGCCTTGCTTGTGTCGACATTATTCCTGTTCACATGACAGCCGTTGGCACATGTATTTCCGTCCGTCCAGTTAGCTGGTGGTGTGTAGTACATCGGGACGACGCCGGTGACCGAGTCGCCATAATAGTCGTCAATGGTGCGGTTGACTCCCCTCGCTCGGCACGCGCCGAGAACGGCGGCGAGGATAGCCAAAGGCGCGAATATCATCTCGTATTGAAGCAACTGCTGAGCGAAAAAAATGCGGGGTTGTTAGTGTTCAGCATAGTCTACGAAGAGAAGAGCGCGTACACTGGGAGGACTAGGTGAGACGTTGGGGGGAGTTGCGTAGACTCAGGTCCTCGTTTATCTGCAGAGGGGAGAAGAAGGTGGCGCGGTCGCGCGTTGTGAGATGATATCCACGTTGCCTGTCAGTTCGAGTTCGTTGTAGGTAGAAAGAGCTCGCGCTTCGGAGATCCGTGCGCTACGGGGTGTCCTCTATATCACTTGTGCTGAGATGAGTTGTACTCCCGCAGCCTACCACGAGGTGCTGTTGATGACCTATCTTTACACAGCCAAGATGCGCCGAGGGACTCGCCCTCAAACACTGGAAGATAAGCTGTGCTCAAAAGTTCAGGAGACGAACAAACGACAGTCGCGCCTCACGCCCTTGCAGGCAGATACGACAACAAACCTGTGCTTGAATAACGCGCGGTTCGCACGCTGCGGGCACGGTCCACAAGAGTCCCGAGAAAGCGTCTCGTAGTATTCTCGTGCTTCTCTCGGCGACCTACTCGCCGTTCGGAAAACGTATACGCAGCACAACGGCGCTCCAAGATGCCGCAACGCCGAGCCCGCGTCGTGGGAGCAAAGGGCGGCAACCCGGTGCTTCATAGCAAGCCAGCGCGATGCATGGCACAACAGCGACTTCAATGAACCTCCCGAGTCTCAAGTGAGCCATCTCATCCGCAAAAAACGCGCAAGGAACTCACCTGTCCACCCAGGGCTCGCGATGCGTCTCCTCAACACACAACGCCCCGAGCTGCGCACCTTTTCTACGCCCACATCCGTCTCCGGAGGCTACGCCGTCCTCTCCTCCTCCTCATGTACCCTTCCTCAATCAACCCGCGCGTTCTCCTTCTCGAGCCCCAGCACGACCCAACCCCCCAGTGCGGCTCTTCCTCCACTACCGTCATCGCAGACGCACCACACCCTCCCTCGCACCCGCCGTGAAACCTACCAGCCCACCTCGTCCACACACGCCTCGACAGCGCCGCCTCATCGACAGAGCTACAGGCCGCCCTGGGCGCCGCCCCGCGTGCTCTTCCTGCCCCCGCACGTCCGACAGGCGTGCGCGCTTGCGGTGCGGCACGGCCTCGACTGGCTCCTTGTCGACTGGGCATGGCACACCGAGCTTGATTGCCAGGGCGATGGCGCGGCGGACGTCCAAGAGGCTATAAACGCGCGTGGGGCATGGCTCGAGGGCGCTGCGGTGTGCTACGCCTGGCTGTGCGACGTGCGGGTGGAGGAAGCTTGCGAAAGCCCGACCGAGGGGGAGAAGTGCGGGAGGCGGAAGTCGCGCCCGGAGCTCCGGCGTGCGACCGTGCACTTCCCGGACGGGCGGCGGACGATGGCCCGAGCCGCCGCGCAAGAAATTGTGTTCCCAGGCGCGGAGGCAGACGACGGACCCCGCCTCCTTCGCTGGCCCTCCGTCCGCACGCGCACGAGTGCGCGCTCGAGCGGGTCGACTTGGGCGGCGGATCGGGACCGGGAGAACTGGGAGCGCGCGTTCCGGCGGAGCGCGTGGCACGCGGTCCCGCACACGCTGCCCGCGCTCCTGCTCCCCCGCCTCGTTCTCTTCGTTTCCGCCGACGGGCGAGTCCTGGGGAGCAAAGCCGACCTGGCACTCGCCCCACTCGTCGAGGAGATCTCCGGGATCCCCGTGTCGTTTCTGCGCTTCGAGCGCGGGCTGGGCGATGCTGGAGTTGGGGAAAGGATGGGATGGGTGGCGCGGCGGCTCGCCGAGTCCAACGGAGGTGAAGAGAGACGAGCCGAAGACGACGCGTATGCGCTCTTGCCGCTCTTTGGGGTCTCGATGCCCGTCCTGTGTGGGGAGGGTCCGCGCGCGTTCTATGGCCTGCAGGAAGAAATCGCGAAGACTACTATCGACACCGGGCTATTTGCGTGGGGCCATGCGCCCCGCTCGAGCGCCTGACGGACTTTGGGGTGCTGGAGATGTCGCCCGCGGTCACGGCAGCGATGCGCGCCCCGATGCCGTTCGACGCGGAGTGCTACTTGCTCGCGCCGGGTCCAGTCGCGTGGACGGGGTCTAGCGGGCATATTCGATTCGAGGTACGTGCATCCTACGAGAGAGGCCTGGTGAGGAAAGACGTGCTGACGAGGATCGGACAGCCTACCGTCGGTGCTTGTGAAATCAAACTCCGTCGTCCACGCCCTCGTCCACTCTGCGCCCCACCTGATCCAGGCCCGACCCCACTGTCCGACCCCGCGCATACCCACAGCGTCCGCCTGCATATCCCCATCATCAAGCTCATCCTCTCCGTCCCCACCTCTCCGGGCTGCGGGCCCACCCTTGTGACGGTACACATCGCGATCCTCTTCTGCACACTGCACACGCTCCCGCTCGGGCTCCCGCTCATCCCCTGCGACTGGCCCGGTCCACGAGCCGAAGTCGGTTGCCCACTCTTTCGGTGCCTCGGGGGACCGTTCCGATTGGTGACGATCTCGCCGGAGGAGCAGCGCAGGTTGAAGGCGCGGTGGACGACGATCTGGGTCGTCGCGAAACCCCCAGTGTTCGCACCAACGCAGCACCCGCAGCTACAACGGCGCTCGTCCTCGGCGACACTAGGGTCCGGGCTCCAGCGTGCGGAAGAGGCGGCGGCAGCCATGGAGGTCGCGTTAGCAGCAGCGTCGGGCAGCGGTCGCGGGGTGATGCGTGCGATGCGGCCCACGTCGATGCTGGCGTCGAAGTGGCGGCTCGCGGGCATGAACGCGTCGACGTGCGCGCCGTTTCGCGTGCCCGACGCGGTCCTGGACGGGCTCACGTTCCGCGAGGGCGGCGGGACGGTGCCTGGGCGGGCGTATTTTTGCTGCGTTGCTGCGACGTGGGTCGGGGTGGGGTGGACGGGAAAGCCGGCGGTGACGCTGGTGTTTCGCACGGATGTGTACTGCGTCCCGCACAGGTCGCGTGCGGGGGCCGTCGGCGTGGGGGTGTCGTACCTCGTCGTAACGCTGGGGGTGTGCCGGCGCCGGACAGAAGGAGGCAGGGGAACAAGCAAGACAGTGGAGGAAAGCGCGTCGCGAGGTTCCACGCTGAGACCGAGCGAAGACGAATGCACGGGCGATGGGAGCGGGTGGGACGAGAAGGCTTCAAATCTCAAGCGGCGAAGAGCGTCCACGTCTTCGTCCAGAGGGGTCGGTGCGCACTGGGCGACAATTCGTGTTGAGAGCGCCGAGAAGCGAAGCGTCCGCGCGGCGCTAGAGTCGGTCCGGCATCCTTCTGACTCGCACGTATGTTCTCGGGACCATATCTCCAATTGGTCGGGAAGAGAAACTCAGGTCGCGGCGCGAGGTCCGGGCCCGCCCTACGACGAAGTTGATGGGGTTGGGGGGCCAGCGACCGTGCCTCTCGTCGTGACTCTGCGATTCGTGACTTGCCCCATCAGCGCAGTTGCCACTGCTTCCGGCTGCACGCGAAGTAGAGCGGAGGGAAATGAGGAGACCATGATCTTGCAGCTCACGGCTGAGCCGGGATTTCTACCACTAGAGAAGCCGCGGCCGCGGTCGGTTCAGTTTGCTTGATGTTTAGCGAGTACATAGACCGTGCCTGTGAGTAAATGATGTTATTGCTCAAGGTGCTGTGACTCCAAAGTACCGTAGGGAGAAGTGCGGTCCGGGGGAAGCATAGAATTCGCTGCTGTCATGAACCACCGGGTTAGAGGTACAGGCACAGGTTGTGCTCTCGCAAGCATTGGAAATCAATGAATGTGGACTGACATAAGCGATCAGAGAGAGACCTGAACTGCGTGCACTTCGAGTCATTGATATGGAAGCAGAACAGACGGATGACAGTGATTTGGAATTGGACAACCGCAGCTTACTAACATATACTCTGGAGGGGCGCCCATGTGTCGTCGAAGGTGTTCAGTGGGAACGAGCGACGGTATGTATAGCGGGTCGAGGCACGTTGAGGCGCATATAAGCAGCTGCAGACGGCAGATGAGCAGCAGCACTTACCCCAGAAGACGTTCTACACATGTCATCCCAAATCACTTTCTACTCCTTCTTGGTAAGATCACAATCCCCAAGGAATTCCGCGGCTGCTTACCTTGGCATCTCAGCCATCGCAATACGCCCACCGTGTCCACCTGGCCCTCGATGAAGTGAAGGCAGAATATGTCACCCACAACATCGACCTCCAGGCCAAACCTGCCTGGTTCCTGGAGAAGATAAACCCAGAAGGCACAGTAAGCCCACATCCATCGATGGCAGCGCATGTGGCTAGTCTGGACTCACCTGAGTCTGTCTCGAGATTCCTGCGCTTTCATACGGTCCGAAGTGCGCGCCCGACGATCCGTCCCCGGAAGCGGCGGCGATCCCTGAGTCGCTCGTCATCCTCGAGTTCCTCGCCGACCTCTTCCCTAACGGCGGGATCCTCCCACCCAACGATCCCGTCGCGCGGGCGCGAGCGCGGCTCCTCGTCGCCCACTTCGAGAGCGTCTTCACCGTCGCATTCAAGAGCGCGTTCTACGAGGGCAAGTCTCCGCAGCTGGTTCTAGATGCCCTTCTGGAGTTCCAGGCGCGCCTTCCGAAGGATGGCTTTGCGCTGGGTGCATGGGGAATGGTAGAGATGTCGGCCGCGCCGTTTCTGGTGCGCACCTGGATGTTGCTCGAACACGACTTCGGGCATTACCCGGTGGGTGAAGGGACGAAGGCATGGGAGGCGCTGAGCAAAGAGGACAAGTTTACGCGAGTGAGGAAGTATGTGGAGGACATGAAGGCATACCCGACTTTCAGAGGTTCCTGGGACGAGGTGAGGAAGTTGTCGGTACGGTCATGACAACGTGGAGGCTGACGATGAGTTTCAGAACTTCATGCTCGCCGCTTGGGGAGGATATTTGAAGAGAGAGTAGCGAGCTCAGGGCGGACAAGCAGTGGAGACTGGTTGGATGTGTATGGGCTACAGATTATCGAATTGAAACGGACTCCGAACGTGAGACTTCACGTCGTGACGTCACGCGCTCGGCGGAGATGTGGCCACTGCGCTTCTTTGTCTCCTCGCCATCGTCATCCTGGTGGTGCTGTCCTCATAAACCCCATTGTCGAACAACATGGTTTGCCAACGCCACTATCTCTCCTGCTGCGATGGCCTCGGAGACCAGCGATCCCGGGTCGCTTGTGCTCGACGGCCTCCCTCGCGACTGGCCGCACGACAAGGCTTCTGGTAGTGTCGCCTCCAGCTCAACTCCGAGTGAAGTGAGAAGACACACCTTCGACATATCCACCAAGTCCCGGAAGCTCAGGCCAGAATCCAGCTCGAGGAGTCGTGGCGATGATTTGGTGGCTTCAAGGAGTGCAGCCGTCGTTGCATCGGACGATGGCGATGAAAGCAAGTCGGGCCCTTCAGCGGCGTTGTCGCCGACACTCTCCCCACAAACGACGATGCCTCTCCCAACGATTTCTGGTGCATTTTTGGACCGTGCACCCGATTTTGCAAGCTCCCTCGCTACCACCCTCCCCCGAGCCTCGTATCGTGGACCATCCCAGCTCGATGACCCAGGAGTCGCAGATCTCGGCTGGAGTAATGGGTCCATCACACCTCCCCAACTCGTTGGGGGACTCCAGAACGACGAGGTATTCATGCTTGAACGACGGTTCAACAAGGTGCATACTTGCGATCTGCCATTTCAGCGACATGACATTGAGGAAATTTTGTAGCAAATACGGCATGCGCGGGCAGAGCCGCATATACCCCCGAATACGCTGGACTTGGAGAGCGCGCCGAATGAGATCATCACTCCCGACAAGCTACGGGCGACGCTCGAGAGGATGTATGTGACCATCGTGAGTCTTGTCCATGTTGCTGCATATATGCGCTCTCCTCATGTGCGATTATGGGAGGCTGTTGGTGGAGCGGCGACATTCAAGCATCTCGCTCGCCTCCGATCTTGGAATGAGCCCCGTCGGACAGCCGGGTTTTGTGTCGTACGTTCCACTCTTCAACTGTCGCTGGGTTTGCTTTAAATATCTGTCCACCATCTAGGCGTACTTCACCTCATGGCATTTATCACTCCTCCCCTTCACCCTCCTCACCACCCTCCTCGTCATCCTCTTCTCCTCGCGCGCTTGCCGAGCTCTATTTCCTCCAGCTCCCTTAGCCGCCATCTCCGCCACCTCAGGAAATCTCCAAGTCCCGCGAGCAGGCGTCGTTGGGTCCGGGACGTCGCTTTCCGGGGCACCCGAGGCGCATGAGGGGGAGGCCGTCGAGCGGGAGGCAGCGCAGTTTGTCGCGAGCCTAGTTGCGGTGGGAGCTGGCGCTATTGCGGGACAACGCGGGCCCCTGAAACCAGCATCGACCGTACGTCCCCCGAAACCGACTACGCCAAGGGAACGGCAAAACAAGAGTCAGCGAACCTCCAAGCTTCGGACGACTTCATCAGTGCAGGTGTCCCTGACGCCACCGACTTCGCGTTGAAGGCTAAGAAGGTGCGCGACACGGCGGACCTCGGTGGAGTAAGCACGAACGACCCCGCTGCACGAGTTGCGAAGCAGAGTGTAGAGACCGCAGTGTGGGACAGGATGGGTCTTGCGGTGCGCACCATGTCTGCGATTGCAGACACTTGGGAGCGCTTCTCTAAGTGAGCATATTTTTCGCCCTTGGTAGATGACTCTGATACGCTTTTGACCATAGCGCAATCGAACCGGTGCCCCCATTCCCTAACTGGGGACCCCGTCTGCGCCTCGCGCTCGCGCTACTGCCCTTCCTCCTCGTCGCGCTCTTGCTCCCGGCTGAAGTCGTGGTGCAGAGCGTTACCTTCATTTTCGGAGCACTCTTCTTCGGGTGTCCTGTCATCCACCGCATAATGTTCTCGTTAACGAACCGATATCCACACTGGACGAACATTTTCGTCCTACGACAGTGAGTTGCATCTTCTTTGGCGCTGCTGGCGGCACAATGCTTGTGGCACCACCTCCATGCTCCACACCCGTTTCCGCATCTTTGACTCACTATTGTTTTGCAGCATGCTACTCCGAGGAGTCCCCACCAACGCTCAACTCACGCTCACACTCCTTCGCCTTGCGGAGCGCGCAAACGCCCCTCTCCCGCCCCCACCGCACACGCGTCCCGCATCAGTCATGGCCGCCGCCGAAGCCGCGCGTCCTGGCAACACGCACTCGCAAGTCGCCGCGGACACGCTGAAAGCACGCGATTTCGCTTTCGACATCGGCGGCTACGATCCCGTCGAGGGCGTCGAATCCTCCGGGTCCGAGGACGGCACGTTCGTCGACGACCCTGAGCCGGTCGAGGACGCCGTGAGCGACACGGAGACGGACCTGGAGCCAGGCGAGAAGGACTCGGACAGGCTGAAACGGCGTGGCAGCAAGCTCATCGGCTTCCTCCGTAAAACGACCCGCACCGGGGTGCACACTGTGCTCGGCGCGGACCGGCTCAAGGCCAAGGCCGGGAACGAGCGTGCGCGGCAGCGGCTCGGGGCGGTCGCCCCACGTGGCGCCGCGGGGAAGCTGCAGGTCGCCCCGGGGGACGTGCACACGGACGACGAGCCCCTTCAAAACGAAGACGAACCCGAGGACAGTGAGGAAACGGCGGGGGACTGCGCGGGCGAAGCGACACCGACCGCTCCTGCGCCGTCTCATTCTGCGAATCCTGCTGCGCTTGCGCCGGAGAACGACTAGAAGGACGCGTTTCAGCGTGAGGGACCGACATCGTTCTCCGCGCGCGTGGGCGGCCGCAAGGGCCGCGTGCTCCTCGTTACGTCCGCGGCCTCGCCGTGCCTCGCGTTCGTGTCCGAGAAGGCACTCGCACGCGCGGCGGAGCCCGAGTCCGTGCTCAACCAGCTCAAGCATGGGCGAAGGGAGAGCGAGGGTTTGGACGCGGCGTTCACTGTGGGGGTCGCGGATGTCGTGGAGGTGCGCAAGGTCGGCGGCTTGGGGTGGAAGGAGCGACTTGTCGTCGGGTGGGCGACGGGGAGGGAGGTACTCGGTGGGCTGGAAGTCATCGACCGGTGGGGCACGAGCAGGCTCTTCACTGCCGTGAAGGGGAGAGACGAGCTTTTCAATAGGTTGATATCTATGGGCGGGCAGCGGTGGGAGTGTCTATGAGGTCCCTCTACTTGTACCGTTATTTTGCTGCTTGGGTATGGTGCTCAGCGCTCGCTCCTTGTGCGACATCCTTTGTGCGTCAAAAGCGCGATGATCACAGCGCACGGGAACCAACAGGCGGGGATACCCACGTGACTTCAAAGAGCATGGTCGCTCGAATTGCGTACGCGCCGCGCAGCTTGTCTTCGTCGCCTCCCTCGTCTCTCCCTGCTCGCCTGCCTCCCTTCTTCTTGCGCATATATTCAGCCAGGGAGGCCATAAATCTACCCCCTCGTCCCCTTATCATGGTCCAGGACGCCACACCTCCATCTACGCTGCGCAAGCGAGCGACAGGCGCGACGAGCGACAGTCGCCCATCGACCCCAGCACGAACCGCGAACCGCGACGCGATCGATCCTGCGACGTTCTACGGAACAGGTACATCCAACGCGCTCGGCTCATCACACACTGGCTACGTCGCGCCCGAGGTCTTCCCCTTCAGAGAGCCCGAGCTCGTTCAAGACACAGTCCCGACGGATCCTAATCAGTATAACCCGCCACCCACCTGGGGCACCGAGTCACTCGCCGACTGGAGTAAGGAATGGGGACCTGTTTCAACCACGTACGACGACTGGGGTGTCCCCGGCACCATCCGTAAGATCAGTATCGACGGCCGCAGTGAAGACGAAGAGACGCGTTGGTACGATCCCGTTCTTCGCGCGTCCTGCTCCGCCCCGGCCCCGGCCTCCTCCCTCCGCTCCTCGCAGACATCCTTCACGACCCAAATCATGCCCTGTACTCGGTCAGTCCCGACCCTCCTCCCTCAGTCGCCGACATCCCTCCCGCACACCTCCCCACTCAAGACGAGGTCCGGACTGCCGTCCCACACCCAAACGCATACTTTTGCCGCGAAGACAACGGCTGGGTCTTCCTCCAATGGCGGTCGTCCAGCGTCCTCCCCCCGCTCGTCGACCCTGCAGCTTCCCTGCCTAATCAAGCCCGACGGAAACGGACCCAGTCGTGCGTGGGCGACGGCGAGCAACCGTTTGGCCAAGCCAATGTCACCCACCACTGGCACCAGTACCCGAAGGCGGTCGACGCGACCAGGCTCAATCCCCCGTACGCACGCAGCGACCTCCTCCTCGATCTTTACCTCTGTTGTCAGTGCTCGACATATTGCCTTGTGTCCGACATTATCCCCGGTGCGATCCCCGCACATCTGCTCAACGCCCTCGTGGAGGACAAGTTGACGAACCCTGCAATCGACAAGACCCCACGCGCGACGGTGGTCGCCGCTCTCGAGACCATCCAATCGTGAGTCCATCGCCCACCCCGCTCTCAGCATGTCCCCACACCGCGTCCAGCATCGTCTCCAATCGGATATGGCGCGATGAGCAGCGGGTGTTGCCGATCATGGGCGCACGCTTCAAGACGAAGCTTGGGTGGGATCCAGCGATGTGAGTTATGTCTTTTCCTGCCGTGCCCGCGCTCACTCGTCTCAGCGAGCAAATTTTCAAAGAGCTTGGGTTTCGAGCTGAGAAGACTCCGAAGGAGGGGAAACCGGGCGAGCTTCTTCTACAACCGCCAGGGATAGACCCGGCGACACCAGAGGGGGTGGCGAACAGGACGAAGCTCCTTCGCGCATGGACAGAGTTGAGCGCGTGGCTGGTGATCTACCAGAAGAACAGTGCGTATTATCCAGGCACTATTTGCGATCGGGATCTGATATCCGGACGTAGAGGAAGGACTGGCGGACTACAGCAGCATTGTCCTGACCGTCAAGGCGGACGGCGCGCGCGACATGTATCAAGAGGGCATTGGGGCGCACGTCTCGCAAAGTAACGTCACATCCCTTCGCTCCTCCCACGTGTTCTTACACCCGTCCCAGTCTCTCGAGGAAACCTCCCCGACCAATTGGTCGGTTACGCGCCGCTCGATGCTGCCTGGAGATTGCTAGGGATGACCCCTTCGACGTACACATGGGAGCTGCTTGCGTTCGCGTATCTGGCGCAATGCCGGTGCGACCCAGAGAACACGATGACCTACTTCGCCCAGCTGATGACGATCGTCAACGCCATGGTCAACCTGGGCATCGCGGTTCCAACAGAGCTGCAAGCGCTCGTCATGGAGGAGCGTGAGCGGTCTCGGTTCACCCCAGAAGACTACGCTCTCGCCGCGTGCAGACTCGGGTTTGGGGCAGAGCTCGGCGTCGACCTCGACGCGGACGTTGACGACGAGTTCATCGCGGCCGCGTGGCGCTCCGCAAGACGGCGCGCGTGGCAGAGCACGGGCGATGCGACCACGAAGCGCGCCGAGCTGAACGACGCGCTCCGGATCGTCGCTGAGACGCGCGGGAGCCTCGCCCTCATCAAGGTGTGGACCGAGGAGAAGGGCTCGGGGATGTCCCCGGAGACGGCGTATTCGACATTGGACGTACCGCGGGACGTTGATGAGTCGATGCTGCTCACCGTGTTCTCGATGCGGATAGAAGATTCGCCGAGTCAGGCGGAGCGGATGCGCGAGGCATTGGGGGTCATCGCGGAGGTCACGAACAGCGAGCGATTGCGGCAGTTCTTGACTACTGGCACGGATCGTGAGTTCTGCTTCTGATTTCTTACGGTGCGCGCTGACGGCGTTCGTGCAGCTGGAGACGGCACTGTCACGAACAGCAGCCCGGAGATGCCGCGCGGTCTGAACCAGCTCGGGAACACTTGCTACTTGAACTCCCTTCTCCAGGTAGAGTTTGTGGATTGTGGAGCGGTCGGCGTTGCTGACATCGTTTCAGTATTTCTATACCATAAAGGATCTACGCGATGCGATCGCGTCCCTCGCTGGCACGGGCGCCAAGTCCCTCGATGAGAAGAAGTTCACAGACGATGACCTGAAGCGTCATCGCGTCGGTGGCCGCCTTGTTACCCGCCGTGAGATCCTCCGCTCCAAGAAGTGTACGCACGCCGTTCTCCTCGGTTTGCTTGCGCTGACACGTTCACAGTCGTCCACCTCCTCGCCGAGCTCTTCTGGAACCTCGAGTACTGCGACACCGCCTCTGTCACGCCCGAGATCGAGCTCGCAAAGCTTGCGCTGGTGACGTCGCAGGACGAGGAGGAGGACGCGATAGATGCGGAGATGGACCTAGACAAGGCAGGCACCGACTCCTCGAACGATACTGATGCGACGCTCGTTGACGATATGGCCCCCGGTCGCCCGTCGCCTTCGACCGCCCCTCCCCCGCGCAATCCGATCCCACGCCGTACGTGACCCCCGGCCAATCTCCCCCTCATCAGCCCGAGCAGGGCGCGCAGAGCCCGACTGGCAGCGTGCTCGGCAAACGCAGCCGCGAGACGGACGGGGAGGAGACCATGGAGGTCGACACGCCCGCGCAGTCGCCCAAAGCAACGGGAGGGTCGAGTCCCAGGGGCGGGAGCGGCGGGAGTGAGGCGGCCATGTTTATCGAGGAGGCCATCGCGTCGACATCTTCGACATCGCTGGACAAGCGGCCTGCGCAGGCTACCTCGGATGGGGATGTCGAGATGAAGGAGGAGAATCAGAGCTCGTCGGCAGGGAAGGCCCCACCTCTGCCGCCGAGGAAGACGCGCCCGACTGACGACTCCGTGATGATGTTCGGTGAGTTGGTTGGGCTGAGATGACCGGGGGTCGCCTGACCGTCATGCAGGGCGGCAACACGACGTGTCCGAGTGCATGGACAACTGCATGTTCCAGATCGAGACCGCGCTGCTCGACTTCCAGGGCATGGCGACGTCCGACGACGACAAGACGAGCCCTGTCAAGAGGTTTGTCTCCATCAACGTCTTCATTTATCCCGCTCACGACGTCATTGACGCAGGTTGTTTTATGGCAAGAAGCGCCAGCGGCTGATCGCAGACGACTCGCGCCACCAGTCGTCCATCCACGAGAAGGAGGATCTGTTCTCGCACCTGCACGTCAACGTCGCCGACGAGGGCTTTGACCTCTACGACGGCCTCGCGCGGTACTTTGACGATGTCGTCGAGGTGAACGGGCAGAAGAAGCGGATGGAAGTGACGCTGGTCGACCTTCCGCCCCTCCTCCAGATCCAGCTCCAGGTAAGCAAGTCTATTGTGTGCGCGATAAGTACTGACGATGGTGCAGCGAGTGCAATTCAACCGCGACACGCAACAGGCGTACAAATCGCAGGCGTACGTCAAGTTCGGGGAGACGATCTACATGGACCGCTTCCTGGATAGCGCGAGCCCCGAGAAGAAGGCGCGCTCGAAGGCGCTGCAGGCGGAGCTCACCGCAGCGCGCGACCGCGTCCAGCGGCTCACCCAGGGCCAGCTCGCCCCCTTCTCCCCCGCGCTCACCAACGCCGCCAACTTCCTCGCGAGCCAGACCGCGCTAGAGCTCACAAAGGACGACGCGCTGGTGGCCTCGCTGCGCGCCGAGGAGGTCCTCATCTCGGAGGAGCTGCGCGTCCTCCGCGAGCGCCTCGCCATCCTCAAGCAGGAGCTCGAGGACATCTGGCGCGACGAGACGTCGGCCGGGTACGAGCTCACGAGCGTCTTCATCCACCGCGGGTCCTCGCCGAGCTGGGGACACTACTTTTTCTACTCGCGGCACCTGCCCGAGAGCCCGGAGAAGTGGTTCAAGTACAACGACTCTGACGTGTCCGCGGTTGCGAAGGAGGAGGTCCTCGCGGACACGACTGGCTCAACCGCGAATCCGTACATGGTGCGTCAGTTGCCCTCTCTGCGTGCGCGCGCGCTGACCACGGGCCACAGCTGGTCTTTGTGCGGAAGGGGTGCGATGCGATCGATACCGTGCACAGGTTCAACCCGGACCTGCTTGTCGAGGGCGAGTGAGCGCGCGGTGGGGTAGAACGAACTCGGACTGCATCTATTGTATCTCTTAGTCGTTGTTTCATTGTATCATAATGTATTCGCTGCTGAGGCAGGATAATGACCGGGCATCTTGAATAGACACGGGCCGGACTCGCCGGCGAACAAGTACCACGCGAGACGGTAAGGATATTTGTGGAACGATGGAAGCTGGCGAAGGTCTTAACAGGTCGTTTAGGTACCGCAACGGACCCTCCTGCCCCTCACACACCGCAGATGTGAAGCTCGATGCGCACCTAGCGGCCCCGGTCGCCGCCCCAGGTCGTCGTGCTCCGCAAGAAACCTGCCGAACGCGACCCTCAACGCCGCTCGTCCTCTTCCGTAGGTCGCATTGATCTCGACCCAGATCCTCGCCAAGTGCATAATGCCCTGGTCGGCTGCCATCCGCCTAACCCGCATCTCCGTGTCGTGCGTTGCCAGTGCCTCTACTGGACACCCCAGCCGACCCGCCAGGATGGTCTCGATGCAGTTAAGTGCGGCTTCTCTGTTTGCGAAGTCCTTGAAACTCTCGTTGATCTCCTCGAGCTTGTGGTTGCCCCAGTACTCGCGGTTGAGGTACTCGAGCGCCTTGACGTCGAGGCTCTCTCCGTCCATGTCCACAACCGCCCGCTCGCGTTCTTCGAGCTTCTTGAACGTGCCCGCATTCGGCGCCCTGTCCTCCTTCTCTCGCGGCCGCCGCGCGCCGCGCGCGTGGTACAGCCAGGTCGCAAGCCAATGCGCGAGCGGGCTCTTGAACGGGCAGTGCGTCGACACCAGCGCGCACGCCGTGGCGACGAGCGTGGTCGAGATCCAGAGGAGGGCGATGGCCGTGATGAGGATCCGGAACGGGGGCGAAGGGATGGGCCAGACGATGAGGACGAGCGCGGCGGCGAAGAGGGCGACGGAGAGCTGAAGGAGGAAGGAGACGAGCGAGATGAGGGTCTGCATCCGCCACGTGCTGAGGCCGTGGTGCCGGTGCTGGCGCACACGGAGGAGCTCGCGCGGCCGGCGCGGGAGGTCGAGCTTGTACTCCCGCAGCCACTCCTTGAGCCAGAGCGACTTGCCGGAGGCGATGAGGCTGCAGACGAGAGAGACCATGAGGAGCGAGTTGAGCACGACGGCCGAGGCTTGGGGTACAAAGGGTGTAGAGTTCGGAGGTGGGAGCGGGAATGGGGTTCCGGCCTCGTGTGCAGCCAGCTGCTGAGATATTTGGAAGAGAAGTTGAACCATTTGACCGGAGTCGTCGGAAAGAAGGTCCGCATATGTGAAAGTGAGGAAGAACGTGACGACGGCAGAGAAGAGGGATGACTGTGAGAGGACCGCGATTTAGTGTCTGCATATGTTTAAGGGAGAGAAAGGCATACAAAATTGAGAAAGCCGTCCAGCTCGTCTTGCCAAGCCTTGATCTTCTTGTTATCCCGCTTGTACAGCAACTTGGCTGCCTGGTGCCATGCATCGTAGTGCTCGTACCAGTGTTGCACGTGGACGTCGTGCTCTAATCTGCATGAGTATTGTGCCTCCTCGTCCTTGAGGCGATATATATATAAGCATTCACAGTATTTGGTGACTGGCCGACGAAGAAACACACCTTCGGAAAACTTTCCCAGGAAGTTGTGGTGGACATGATCTCGAGACTCGGACGCGGTTTCTCCATGGCACTAACCTCCTGGTATTATATACCTTTCGTCAGCGCAGCTCAGCGTACATCTTGAGAGCACGCTCTCAAGGCGTTCCCTTCTCAGCACATACACGGGCGGGGTTCTGCCGCGCGTACTAAACATCCCCTCCGTAGGGATTGTGTGCTCGGTTTGCAGAGCCTGAGTCGAGGCCGACCTGCCGGGCAGCTGACCGATGACTTAGTGGATCAGCGCACCGATAAAGGGACCGGGGATCTGTCACTTAAGCGTAAATGCGAGCCTGCAAGACGATTGAGGTGTGGTGGCCAAAATCACGATGGACCTGAACTGTTGGCTCGGGGTAAGGGGTAGGGGCGAATGTGAGATCGAACATCCAGCCGCCAGCGAGACCATCCACCGTGCGTCAACGGCATGGAATCAGAAGCAGCGCCTCGCGCGATAGTGTTACGGATGCAGTACATCGCATTCGCGGGGCCTCGGACAGCCGTCCCGCCTGGTTTGCAAACAATCCCGAGAGAGCAACTTTGCTGAGACAACGCGCCATGAAACATGTGCTCCCGACACTGGTCCTCATTGTGGCACGAACCACCTAAGACAAAACAGTCCCGGAACAGGTTAGTGTAAGAAGATATTTATGAAACCGTGTGAAGAATCATCATTTTGACCTCCCAGAAGACCAACTTCATAGGAACCGAAACTAAGGCCCGGAAATGCGGAGGCCTCGCCTCCGCCCAGCCAATCAACACACCGCGAACCCCCGTCCCGCAGCGTTATCATTACAACTCTATTGAAACCCGTCACATGGAACTAACAACACGGAGGCCCGCTCGTATGTAAGCACAATCGCATAATACCCAGACCGAGAACAGCGCAGACCATCATTTCTCGTGTTCAGAGTCCGAAGATGAGTCCTCTCTTCCGAAAAGCGTGGCTGCGTCAACAGCTGCAAAGTCCGGACTGAGAGCTTTCCCAAACACTTCCTTCACTTCGCCTCTCCCAGACGGATGCTGCTTGTCGATGTCGAGCCAAATTCGCATCAAATCCTTGACTCCCGGCGTGTCCACCGACAGCCACCTATCCTTGACGACGCTCTCCAAGCCTAGGTCCCTCTCCGCGCAATGCAGACGCACCGCGAGGATCTTCTCGATGCGCTCCAGCGCCCACGGGGTTTCTGCAATGTCCCTGAAGCACCGGTTCACCACCCTGAGGTCCTTGTGCCCCCAGTACTCCTCGTTCAGGTACTCCAGTGCCTCGAGGTCGAGCAGCTCCCCCAGTGCTTCCGCAACCGCATGCTCTCGCTCCCCAAACGTCTTGTACCGGCACTCCCACTGCGACCCCGACCCCGTCTGGACCCCGGGCGGCGAACTTCTCGCGCACCCGGCGGGCGTGCGCGGATAGAGCACGGTCCGCGTCGCGTACAGCAAGCGAAACACCCACCCCGCGAGCGCACTCTTGAACGGGCAGTGCGCCGAGAGCGTGGGGCAGACCGCCGCGGCGAGCGTGACCGTGACCCAGAGGGCCGCGATCGTGGTGACCATGATCCGGAGGGGCGGGGAGGGAATGGGCTGGACGACCATGACGAGCGCGGTGGCGAAGAGAGCGACGGAGAGCTGGAGGAGGAAGGAGATGGCGGAGACGATGGCGTGCATGTGCCATGCGGCGAGGCCGTCGTGTCGGAGCTGCCGGATACGCAGGAGGGAGCGCGGGTGGCGAGGCTCGTCGAGAGTGTACTCGCGCAGCCACTCTTTGAACCAGAGCGACTTCCCGGATGCGATGAGGCTGAACAGAAGAGACACGATGAGGAGGATGTTGGGGAGGATGGCGGCGGACGTGGGAGGGGGAGAGTCGAAGACATTTGCGATGTTTGTGGGGAGAGAAAGAGGGTTTTCTGGATCGAGTTGATTCTTGTACAATTGGAGTAGAAGACTGTTCTGAGAAGCGTTGTTTGGCTCGATAGTCGGGAACGTGAATGCCAAAAAAACGGTGATAACCGCAGAGAAAAGCGAAGACTAGCACGCGGTCACGACAACTCAGAACACGTTGGCTCGACTATAAGGACGAAAACGCTCACGAAGTTTAGAAACCCGTCCGTCTCATTCTGCCATGCTTTTATCTTTTCCTTGTCGCGCTTGTGGAAGAGTTTGGCGGCCTTGTTCCAAGCATCGTGCCGCTCGGAGCGGTTGTGACCGGCAGAACTATGTTGGTCGGCGTCATTACGCCCGCGTTGTCCTTCGACCTGCGACAGAGTTATAGCAATCTCGTCCCCTAGAAGGTCAGGGATACTCACATCAGGGGTATGGGACATATTGCGCAGTGGAAAGTCGTCTGTCCGTCTCAGACTTCCTCCTCCCTTGATATACCACCTTATAAAATGAGTGGTCCACCCGAAGCAGTGAGAAGTCGTCAGCATCCACCATACGAAAGACGCACCCACTAGCCCAGTCGGAATGTGCTACAAATCGGTCGAACTACGGCGATCTGCGCTTTACGGAGATTAGAAAGCAATTGAACCCCAGCAAGGTGGCCAAAAACATGTCTCTTCCTGGGAGTCCGTCACTGCACATACACATATCGGGTGGTGCGGATTCCATCCCGTCCCCGACGGACCATTACCTCCGTGGAGTACTCATTCGGGGGACTCCGACGTTGTGTTGCTCCGACGTCCAGAAAATTCGTGCCGAGGATTTCAAAAATTTTAAAAACGGGGTACACTTGCACAGTGCCCACGTGCGGAGCTTGACCACCAGCCTGTGATCGCGCAAGTCTGCAGTGATGCGTCCTGCAGCTGCGCTGGGCTAGGTAGAGGAAGATCACAGTCAATGCGGTGGGCGGTTCATGTCGGGCGGCCACGCTTACACGGGGTGGCATCGAGACCGAAGGGCTGGAGCTGCCCAGGGGAGGCTGAATCAGAATAAACTTCGGGACATTTGAGTCTGGGCACAAGTCGCGGAGTATAAAATGATGATCGAAGTACCAAGCCGGCGGCCCGGCAGCATGCACTCCGCGAAGACTCCGACTATCTCCGCCTGTAGACCATCAGCCGGCTGTCGCCCTCGCAACAGGACGTGCACGCTGGATCATGCACTCATCTTGCCCGCGGTCTGGGCCTCTTCGAACGGGCGTTCCGTTCATAGGATGGCCCGGCTGGCACCCCCGGGTTCACCGAGCTGCGTCGCGAATCGGCCCTATTGACGACAGCTTCGCACGACTCGCGGCCTCGTCCGCAGCCTCCCTCGTGGCAGCTTTCCTCCTCTCCTCGTCCAGCGACTTGTCCAGCTGCGTCCATGTCGCCCTTTCCGTCGAGGTGATACCGGGTACATCCAGCTCCTTGTCATCGAGGAACGTGAGATCGCTGGTTGACGGTCTTTGCAGACGATTATACGAGTTGCAAGAGGCGCGCCTAGCGTATCGGTAAATATCAAGGTTCGTATCAAATGTTCACTTCGCCTGTACTCGACACCTTACCTTGCGTCTATCTAGAATCACCGTGATGTGGCTGCTCAGCACCGACCGCGCGGAACTGCATTACTTCTCGTCCCCGGACCAGGTTCCTGGCGGATACGCCATCCTCTCCCACCTTTGGGACGACCATGAGCTCTCCCTACGCGAGCTCCGTGCTCTCACCACCGAGTGCGCCCAAATGGGCACCAACCCACGTGATCGTGTCCCGCGCAAACTCCGCATGGCCTGCACCCTCGCCCGCCAACACGGCTACGCCTGGCTCTGGGCCGACACTTGCTGCATCGACAAGACCAGCCAGACCGAGCTCTCCGAGGCCCTCAACGCCATGTTTCGCTTCTACGCGCTGTCTGCCATCTGCTACGCCTACCTACGAGATGTCCCGAGCGACAGCTCTGCCGCGAACGGCGTCTTCTTCCACGCCGACTTCACACGCAGCTTATGGCACCGGCGCGGGTGGACGCTTCCCGAGCTCCTCGCCCCGAAGCTCGTCGTCTTCCTTTCGTCCGATTGGAAGGTCCTCGGAACCAAGTCGGACCATGCGACGCTCCTCCACGACATCACGCGCATCCCCGTACCCATCCTGCGAGGCGAGCAGGACATGGCCGAGCTGAGCGTCGCCCAGCGCATGTCCTGGGCAGCTAACCGCGAGACGACACGCCCGGAAGACGAGGCGTACTGTCTCATGGGTATTTTCGGCGTCAACATGCCGGTACTCTACGGCGAGGGCGAGAAGGCGTTCTATCGTCTCCAGGAGGCGATCATGAAGACGACGTCCGACCCATCCCTCTTCTTCTGGGGTCCGGTGGGTACATACAAGGCCATTCTCTCTCGTTCGCATCGGGAGTCGAGCCACAACCACATCTCGGTGGACTCCTACCTCCTCGCTCCTTCTCCCACGCTCTTCAAGTCCGTCGGTGATGGATCCGGCGTTAACTACGCTCCACCGATGGCTCCGGCACCCCCACATGTCAGTGCGCGAACGCCTCACGCCTGTGTTTCAACTAACGTTCGTTGACAGCACAAGTCAGTTTTGTGGAAGGTCGTTTGCAAAGCTTTCGTCAAGTCCTCTCGCCGGCAAGTCGGTGCTCCCACGTTCACTATCACCCCCCGCGGCATTCTCGTTCACACTGCTCTCGTCAAACTTTCCTCCACCTGCTTTCTTGCTCTGTTCTCTTGCTCTGACGCTCACGGCGCTACCGCTCTCGCTCTCACTCCATGTCCCTCATCCTTCGACCCTCATCATCCGATATATCACTTTGGTGCACACGGTATTCGTCGTGTCTCTCAACTGGGTTATCTCCGCGACCGGGTCAACCTCGACGAGCTTCCAAAACCACGCTGGAAGTCTTTCTATGTCATTCCAAAGCCTCCCTTCCGCGCCGACCCGGACTCCCCACGATCCCTATCCCTGTCCGTCGCAGTCATGAACACCACCATCACTTCCCCCTTTCGCATTGATCTTCCCTCCGTCGCCATCCCAAACAAGCGTGCAGACGGTACCGCCACCAGTGGGCCCCGGCCACCCTCACCACGCCTCTCACAGCTGGTGAGCCCAGCGGTGTCCCCAATCCCGTTCGGGTGGATGGGAAACCCGCCCGTGACGCTCAAGCTGTACGAGGGCCGGTTCATCGGCCGCAAACGCACCAAGGGCGTCGACGCCGACGGCGCGCTCACGTACTGCCTGTACGTCACCCTCGGTATCTGCTGGGACGCACAGCGCGCGCAGCACGCCTCGGACGGCACCGCAGAGCACGGCTCCCCTTCTCACTCCCCCTCCTCCCCCCGCTCCTCACCGTTGTCCGGGCGCGACCCCGACTCGCGCTCGTCCCCGCTCTCCTCCCCGGGCTCGCCCACGGGGCCCATCGTGTTCCCGCATTGGGCTGCGGTCTCGATGCGCTTCTACGACACCACGACGCCTCCGCCCGCGGAGCCGCCCGCCGCGCCGCACAGCTGCCCGGGCGACCACATCTCGACCTGGCCCGAGCTCAAGAAGCGGTTCTCGGTCGAGCTCGCGCCCGACGCGCGCACGCGGCACTCGCTGTACGAGCACGCGCCGCTGCCCGCGCGCGGGCCGACGATCATGGACTTTGAGCTCTCGTTCGCGCCGTGCGCGCTCAACCCGGCGGGGTGGACGTTGGTGATGCGGTACCCTCGGGTCGACTTTTACTACTAGGGTTTGGCGGACGTTTGTTGTCGCGGCCGATCTCGCGGGCGGGTCGGCCTCCTCGAGTCGCTTTCTTGTTGTCTGATTTAGTCCCGATGTACACGGGGTTCGAGGCACGGTCCCGATACTAGACAATACACGATGTAGCGATAACCTCTGAGTGCCCTCTATGAGTTCCGTGGCTGGCCGCGTCGTGATAACCACCAGTTCCAACCGTATCTTCCCCAGCTCCAGTGATCTCCAATGTTCGTGTTACCACTCAGGGAGAAGGCGACGGAGTCCGTCGCGGAGCCACGACTGCGAGTACGAGCGCTCATCCTCTGTGGGCGCTAACCTGATTCCAATCCGATCCCCGCCGCGTGGCCGGCACCCTTCCCTCTTCCTCCTCCTCCCCACCCCCACCCCCACCACCATCTGCCTCTCACGCAGAAGCCCCTGCAAGCCCCGCCACACCGCCCGCCCTGAGTGCACGCGCATTCTCGAGCGTCTACACGGGCCCGCGCCAAGTGCGCTGACGCGCCTATCCTTTTCTAGCTCACCAACATCATCTGGCGTAGCACGCGACCGACGTCGAAGCTAGAGGAGCAGACGGATCCACGCGCTCGGGGTTGATCAGTCTCACGCAATGTCAAACCCGGATCCCTATTCTGGGTGGGTGCGCTGGAGTACGACTGCAGCCGTTGCCATTCGCCCCGGCCGCGAATACACCGCCAGAGGTCCTCGCTGAGCTGGCGTACTTGCGACTGGAGACGCAAATGCTACGTCCGGAAACGCAGCAGGGTGAGGCACCGCCACAGTAAGTATGTGCAGCACTGCACGCAAGGCCATAGGGGCGGTCACACGCGGGGTGTTATCTAGTCCTCGCATCGCGAGGGATGTGGCACTCTGATTGGTGGTCCTGGTATTTGTAAGTAGGCTGAGTTTGGGTGGACCTCTCTCTCATTCAGTTCAGCTGAGGTGTGATCTCCGGCGGTGATCTCGATCCGCCTTCTTGAATGATGTATCAATGTCCTTGGCCTCAGACTCGGAGTATTGCTCGTGTTACGCCGCTAAGGCCGCCATCGAACTCCTCTTCGGTACGGTCAAGTGATATGTATCGCAGAAGTCTTCGTATTTCGCGCTCTTCGTGAATCATGTAAGCCCTCGCCTTTCTCCGCGAGCCTTACTAGTAAGTTCTCTTGTTACTGACTCGTCAAATTTTGAATGCTCATTCGTGATCATTGTACAGCTATCCTTCCCGGGTGACATTGATGAAATTCAGGGCGCCTCGTGGCTATCAGATCGTCCCTTCCCCCTGGGCATTACTTCCGCCGAATGAAGCTGAAGGCATCGGTGCCAGAGCAGCCAGCGCCGACTCCTTCCTCCCACCACGACGACGCGCAGTCCTGCCGCGCATGCTGGCACCTTCGGGGCCTTGCGCCCGCACCTACACACTCATTATCGCACTCCTGCTTCTCGCGCAACTCGTCGCTTCAGCCGCCGTCAACCAGACCATCGACGATCAACTCGGCGACAGCGTCACCGGGACGGTGCCAACGTACGATCCTATCACCATCGAGGGCTCCAGCTGTAGCTCCTGCAGCGTCAACCGCGGGGGAATCGACAAGAGCCAGATCTTCAAGGGAACTTGGCACGACTCGAGCAACCGCCCTGCAGGTCAAAGCCTCACCATCACAGCGCACTTCACTGGCACGGCGGTGTACGCGTTCCACATCATCCCCGTCAACATCGTCGGAGTACCCCTCGTCACGAGCCTGGAGTTCTTCTTGGACGGAGCGCAAGTTGGGACGTACGTCAACCAGCCATCTTCAAGCGCGCCGTCGCACTTCTTGTATCAAGTCCCGGTGTTCAGCAAGTCGGGCCTCTCTAACACCGCGCACAAGTTCCAGATCGTCTCGTCAACAGACAATACCGTCACTCTCTTTGATTACATCGTCTATACCACGGACGATGGCGTCGACGACCCTGGTTCAACCGTCACGCCGCCATCCGTCACAACCACCTCGTCCTCGAGTACATCCACGTCTACCACACCGGTACCAACTACATCTCCCGGTACCACTTCCACCACATCTTCTCACACTGTATCCGGGGTCTCGCAGACTACTACGTCGCACACCACCTCGCTGACGAGCTCTCCAAATGAGCCCGGAAACGCAACTTCTTCCAGCACTCGTTCCGGCTTTATAACATCATCAGTCTCATCAGTCTCATCAGTCTCGTCAGTCTCACGTACGTCCTTGCCATCCACGCCCATCGGGTTGGCCCAGCACTAAAAACGGCCCCGCAGAGTCATCACAGGCCGATCCGACAGGCGCATTCGCCTCGCCGCAAGGTTCTGACTCAGAAGGCCCCCATCCCCGACTGGCGCGATCGTCGGCGGCATCGTGGGCGGCATCGTCGCCTTCGTCCTGCTCGCCTTTTTCCTGTGGAGACGGTACCACAAGCGCGCGCTCCGCACGACGGACGCGGAAGCGGAGAAGGGGCCTATCCTCGGCCCGGGTGGAGGGAGCACGACGGAGAGCGGCGGGGCGCTGTCTATTCTGACCTCGCGAGCGTCGTTGGCGGAATCAAGCATGAGCCCAGTACATCTCGCCATTCGTGAGTCTCTTACCTCGCACCTCTTGACGCTTTCTCATCCTTGCAAGAAGAGAATGTCTATCCCGCTTCCACGACAGGCACTGGCCTTACCCGGCAGGTTGAGCACGTTCGCGACCTCGAGGACCGCATACGCACCCTCGAAGGCGTTCAACAGCGCTCCGATTCCAAGGCACCTCGGGTGGACGAGAACGCAAGCCCCGTCAGCCTCGCAGACGACAGCCGATCAACGCGGTCGTATGGCACGCGATACTCGATCACCTCGGGTCCGTCTCTTGACACGGCCGCACAGGCGAGCGTGCTCGCGGAGCTGGACGCGCTGAGGAACGAGATGCGGATCATGCGCGCGCAGATGGAGCTGGGCCAGGATGTACCACCACCGCAGTATAGCGGATAGTTTTGATATCCACATGTAAGGCGTCTCCTGCAAGCATTTGTTACCGTGCACACGCAGACACCGTCGTTGAGGCCTTGAGGATCGCTATCGAGGAAGGGAGGTGAATAGCTCGGGGCGATGCTCATCTAATCTAATCTGATCTTCTCTGATCTCAGGACATCTATACTGGCCAGAAATAAATCTGAACGGCAGTGAAGCTTAGATGTGTTTATTATCGCCGCAGTACCCACAGTCACCATGAGATCGCCCCGATCAAAGCAGATCCAGAAAGCGACGTCGTTCTAGTGCAATACGTATAACGGAGGCAGCGTGCTGGACAGATCAGCCTCTACTCGAGGAACCTCTTGCTCGCCTCTGCCTCAAACTGCACAACCTTCCGCACGAGCGCGACGCCGTGCTTCGCACACGCCGCGGCCGCCCGGTCAAACTCCGCCGGGCTGCCCCTCCCCGAGCGCACGACGACCGTCCGCGCCCGCGGCTCGTCCAGGAGCAGCAGCCTACCGATCCCGCCGCCCTCCTCGTGCGGCGCCGGCGGGCGCAGCAGCCCCGCCTCCAGCGCCGCGGGCAGCTCCACGAACTCGAGGGTCCCGTGCGGGTACGGGCCCGCCGGCGCCGGGGGCTTCCCGGCTGCGTGCTTGTCCTTCTTCCGCGGCACCGCGGGGGGCGCGTCGACGACGAGCGTGCGGAGGTCCGGGGGCGTGCGGCCGACGAGGGCGCGGAGGGCGCGCGCACGCTCGACGTGGAGCGTCGCGAGCGCGGGGAACGTCGTGGGGAGCGCACAGAGGACGCAGACGCAGCGGAGGCCGCCGTACGAGGGGCAGGTCGGGAGCGCGCGGAGCCGGAGCGTGCGCACGGAGGGCAGGACGGGGAGGGGCGAGCCCGTGACGTGGATCTTGGGGTCGGGGCGCTCGGGCCAGGAGCAGTCGAGGTAGACGGTGGTCAGGGACGCGAAGTGGCGGAGGGGGCCGGAGAAGAGGAGGTGAGGGGCCTCGAACGGCGCGAGGTCCTTGACGGTGTTGGCCGAGGCGGGGTTGAGCGAGCGGGGGTGGGAGTAGGAGAGCGTGAAGGTGCGGCAGTCGCCGACGACGTCTTGGAGAAAGCGGAAGAGGTCGTTGCGGCGGCGGATCGCGGGCCTGTGGTGGTCTTGGGACCAGGCAGTGCTGCAAAAGTCCTGGGTAAAGTTGCAGAGGTGAAGATCGGAGTGGCCGAAGAGGTGTGTCGGGTGGTCAGCCGGATCTGGGGTGTGCTGGGGGTGAGCGGCGCGATTAACGAGCGATCTGTAAATGTCGAGATCGTCCGAATAGCCAGATTTCACGTCGATGATGAGGTGGCGGAGGACGACACGAAGGGCGATGGTACGAAGGGTGGTGCAGGAAGCGGACAGTCGCTTGAAGAGGAACGCACGGTGGACCGGTGAGCAGTCGGCGAGCCACGCCATCTCAACAATATGCATCAAAGTCTCTGTGGGCAGTGGCATGTGGGCAAAGTGGTTGGGGGACATGATGGGGGCCGGATGGAAGGTGTCGTCCGCCCCGCGGTTGCCTGTTGGTTCGAACCGGGCGACGGGCCGGAGTGCCGGCGCGTGAGCCTCCATGGGCGCTTGGACGAGAAATGACGAGTTGGATGACAAGGCCGGGTCGCGTGCACGGCAGCGAGGAACGCGCGTCGAGCAATGGCTAGTACGCAATCCGTCTGCTCAAGACGACACCGTGCTTGATACAGGCCTCGAGCGCCGCTCCCCAACCAAGGGGAAGCTCGCCTGTGGTGCGTGTGATGATGCTCGTCGGAGTCGCGACCTCGGTGACGGTGAAGAGCGCCGGTATGTCGTACCGCAGAAGTGAACTCCGCGTATGGGAGTTACCTCCATCTGACGGGGAGATAGCCTGAGACGGAGCCTCGAGTGTGAGGGTCCGGAGCGTGAGTGGCGCGCGCACCGCGGCGAGCGCAACGGGAGTGTCGAGATGCAGGTGTTCCAGACGCGGAAAGACTTGAGGAAGCGTCCCAGCCATGCAGCTCGTCAGGCATTTGACCGCCACCGGCGAGTCCCCTGCCTGCGCGCCGTTCTCTCCCCTGCGTACGACGCGCGCGCAGAGGCACGGCGGGTACTCGCGGAGGCGGAGATAGCGGACAGTCGAGAGCGGGGTGGGCCGGGTGTCCATGATGGGGAGATCTCTGTCGGCCCAGGACCAGTCGAGGCGGAGGCGTTCGAGCGACCGAAACCGCTGGGCGAGGGTGAACACCGGCGAGCGTTCGTGGTGCCATAGAGGGGAATGCAGCGGGTCCGCGACGGGAGGGGCGGCGACGGTGAGCGAGTGGCAGTCGCCAATGACGACGACAGAGAGGAGGCGGAGGAGGTTCTCGAGCTCGCCCCAGCGAACGGTGCGAGCGATGAGCGACTTGGAGCGGGGAAAGACGTAGCCCTCGAGGTGGAGGTGGGAGCGCCGGAAGAGGGCGCAAGAGAACTCGCTTGGGGAGAGACTCTGCTCGGCGGCGGGGCGCGCGTTGGCAGCATCGCGCGTGACCTGAGTATAGAGACTGACATCCCCGGTGCCCATCTCGGTGAGGTCAACAATCACGAAGCGAGTTGCGACGTGGATGGCGAGTGCACGGATGATGGGATGGGAAGCCACAAGGGCACGATAGAGCGCGAGGCGTTCTGCAGGAGACGATGTGGACAGCCAAGCAGTCTCGAGGAGGAGCAGAAGCAGCTCTGTCGGGAGGACGTCGAGCATCTCCAGAGCGTGTTATCTCAGTGCAGAAGAGAGTGCGCTCTGGCCAAGATGAGAGTCGCGCGAGTGGGCGGCCCGGCCAGCCCCGAAAGGCAGCCCTTGTCCGACCGCGACGCGACGACCTTGTCCTCAGCACCTTCTTCAACTTGCTCATCTTCCCCGCATTCTTCATCAACCTTACTCCCGCCTTGTTTTCAAGAAGCCAGTGCACCCTTTCATCATCGACGTCTCGACTATCATGGCTCCTCTCCCGACTTCCCCACTCCCATCTCCCGTCTATGGCTCACCCCGCCCTCCCCCACCATGACGGTCTCCGACACTTGCGAAGCGAAAAACGGCTCTCATCGGCCTCAACTGCCGTGCTTGCGAACGACGTGATATTGGACAACATTCTCACCGAGCTCGACGTCCACGACGTTCTCAGACTTCGTCAGGTACGTGTGTTCCCTGTCCATCTTGCGCACCCTTCCAACCTTCGCCAAGGTCAGCACACAATACCGAAGTCTCACCAATGAACCCGCCACCTGGAAACGTCTCATCGCCGAGGGCACACATCAGCTCCCCCCTGTTCCACCAACAACGCGTTATTCGTTCGCAAATCTCACCAGTGTCGAGGCCGAGCGACTCATCTCTCGTGCCGTCGACCTCCCGGCACGATGGAATCGTCCCTCGCAAACTGCGCTCCGTCGCTGGGACATCGATGCACACCGCAACGTACTCGAGATGGCCCTTCTCCCTGGCGGCCAGTACATCGTCGCCTCCATCGTCGACTCCAAGGGCCAGCACTCTGTTGAAGTGCTCACGTCCGACTACGGCTACGCGGTCGGGTTCCCGGTTGCACAAGTCAAGACCTCGACGAGAGCGTTCGGGGTGCAAGCCAAGTACTTGACGTCCGAGGGAGTACAGGGCATTGCGATTGCGTATACGCGAAGGGATTACAAGCGGGAGAAGTATTCGTTCAGGTGCGCCCTTTTCCACTTTTTCTGCCGCGCGCCTGACCCTCAACAGGTTCAACATCGATGACTACGAGCCGCAGGAAGATATCCCGGAGCGTCTGGCGAAGATGATCAAGTATGTCTGCACCGTAGTCCACGTCCCGCTAGACGACCTCGAGCGATTTTGCGACGACACGCGACCCCCGAATGTGCAACGCTCCCTCTCCGCCCATGACATGCGGCCGCCTTTCCGTTTGCTAGCGGACATTGTGTCGCGGTCGCGCATCAGCAACACCATCATCGCCGAAGACGTGGAAGGCACCCCTTATGTGACGGTCCTCAAGGGTACAGACCGGGTGCTGTTCAAGAATCTGGACGGCGGACTAGGATGCACGATGCAGTGTACGCCTCATCCCGACTTCGTCGATCTCGTGAGTCGAACTTTTCCGCCACCTGCGTACACGGTTGGTTGTCTTACACGTTCCCCCGCCAGCCCCACGCAATCCTCGCGTTCACGGTCCTCTTCGCGCAACAACAATTTTTTATCGTCCGGCGAGCGGGGCCGAATGAGGCCATCGACGGCCACGGACCATACTACTTCACCGAACTGTATCCCATCACCTACCGCCCTTCAGAGACCCTTACCCTTCCCGCTGCAGCGCGAACAGCGGCGCTCGACTCGCGCGGAAACATCTGGCGACAAGTAATGTTCTCCGACCCCACGAACCCCCACGAGCTCCCCGGATGCGCCCCGTCGGTGAACGTCCCTCCGCCGCTGCTCATCTTCGTGGGTGCGTCGAAGACCTACGGAGTCATTTACGAAGCCCTCTTCCCCGAGCCGATCCCTCCACCGCCCTCATCTACTCCCACCGAACACGAAACGGCCGAAGCCCCAGGCACGGCTCCTGCTCTTCCAAGATACGCGTACAACATTTCGGAAGACATGCTCCAACTCGACCCACTCCCGGCCGAGATAGACGCGCTCGCGGAGGTGTACGACCACATCGTCCTCCCGGGGGCCCTCCGGCCCCTCGTCTGCACCATCCCCCGTCGTCCGTCCGCGGTGGACGGGTCCGAAGCGGACTGGGAGCACGGGCTCGGCGACGAGGGGAGCACCACGGGCTCCGTCGCGACCTCGTCCACGTACACGGGCGGCTTCGACGTCCGGGCGCTGAGCGGGGTCCTGGACGACCGCCTCGTATGCACCCCTGAAATTCCGCAGGACACGCCCCCGACCGACGCTCCTCCGCCAGACCCCGCCGCTCCCGGAGACGCAGACGGCACCCCGACCGACGACGGGGGCGGGGACGACGACGGGACGACGACGATGCTCGCGCTCGCGGCGCGCGACCTGCGCGGGGTCGCCGCGCTCGCGTGGGACGAGACGATCAACCGGCTGTGCGTCGCGTACGCGCGCTCGACGCGCGTCGCGGTCTTTGACTTTGCGCCCGGCGCGCGGCTCCCGCGTGGGTGCCGGTACGGGGTGCGCTCGGACGAGTTCTACCGGAGTCGCGGGTGAAGATGTGTGGTCGCTTACGTATGCACTACTGTGCCATTTCAATCCATGTATATAGGTTTTTAGCGTAACTATAGCTCTTCGAAAGGGCAGAACGAGTCGTTTGCGATAGTTGGACCACCCCTCTGAACCAAAGATTCGAATTTCGAAGATGTGTCGACGCTAGCGCTATTGTGAATGCATTGGAACGGAGTTCAAATGTGTGGTGAATGACGAATCGCCGCGAGCGATGTCACCAACTTTCCACCACCAGCTACTCGCACTTCACATCCTCATCGATGTATGACACAAACGACTGCTGAACTTCATGGAGCCTGAGGTGCCGGTGAGTGATGCACGGCGCCCAGACACTTAATCTGATCGACAAGACAAGTTGCGATCATATGCGTGCTCGCTGCATCAAAAGCACAGGAACGGGCTTTACGCTCCGCGCAGAGACAAGATGAGAATACACCGAAGGCTCTGAACCCCAGGAGGCTTACTGGATCCGCATAAGAGCCACGTTCCCGGATTCCGGAGAGGTCTCTCCATGAAGATTTCAGGTCGCAAGCCGGCGGCCTGATGCTAATACGTGGACAACTTGAAGCAGGTCAATGTCGTTTCCACGTGTGTTCCCAACACAACTCCTATGACGTGTTGCTTATCACGTTTGTGGTCGGCCCAGGGGGCAAAGCGCGTGGCACTAAGATGCCTACCTGATCTAAATTGATGCTGATCATCCCGCCCTTCGAGCTCGTCCCATGTACTTACCCGCCCGTCTCTCGTCTGCTCCCGAGACCTCGTTATGCTCCCTCTAATACCCCGCCGACGCTCGCTCCAGACACTCTTTCTCTCCTTTCTGTGGTCTCTGCCCTCTCCATGCCGCTCAAAAGCCGTGAATGTCACCATCGACGACTACTACGGCGACAGTCGCACCGGTGCTCTCCCAACATTCGACCCCGCGGGTACGACTGAGGGCGCGGGGTGCGACTCCTGCAACATCAACCGAGCAGGGATAGATCCCTCGCAGATCTTCAGAGGCACCTGGCACGAGTCCACGAACCGCGACTCGAGCGACAAGCTCACTATCACCGCAACATTCACCGGGACGGCAGTGTACGTCTACAATGTCATCGCCATCAACGAACCTGGCATCTCGCTCTCCACGAACCTGCAGTTCCTCATCGACGGTCAGTCGGTCGGGACGTATGTACGCCAACAGTCGAATACAGCGACTCCATCGTTCCAGTACAATGTGCCCGTCTTCGGGAAGACCGGGCTTTCCAACAGTCAACACACCATTCAGCTCGTGTCGGCGGAGGTGCAGGGTGTCACGATCTTTGACTACTTCGAGTACACCATGGACGACGGTACGCCGGACGACGCCACGTCGCAGTCACCCCCACCCGGTACTACCTCTTCGACGACGACTACCCAGCAAACCCAGGCCTCTCCAAACCCGGCGGGCACGACGGACATAACCCTCATCTCCACAGCTCACACTACCGTCACCGACACGTCCAACGACCCTGGTTCCAATCACAACACTGCGACGTCTCCCTCTTCGTCTGGCACGTCGTCTCTCCCGTCATCCCCATCAGGCTCGGGTTTGAAGCTACCATCGGAATCGTCGCCTACGTCGAACACCAACGGCTCCTCCTCCGCCCTCTCCCCCACCGGCGCACTGGTCTCGCCCAACAACAACGCCGCGGCCAGCTCCTCGTCGTCCACGTTCCCCGTCGGCGCCATCGTAGGCGTCATCCTCGGCGTGGTCCTCATCGTCGCCATCGCCGCCGTCCTCATCCGCCGCCACAAGTCCTCAGCGCAATCGGCCGCGCGCGTCGTCGGCGCCGCCGGCCTCGGCGGCTTCCACGGCGGCGGCGGCGAGCACCTCGAGAAGGGCCCCCTCTTCCTCCTCAGCCCCACCCCGCTCTCCGCGAACAGCCTGCGCACGGCGTCGCCCCCCCGCGGCGGCCCATCCCCGCCGGCGCAATGGCACGTTCCCACGCTCGCCCTGCTGAGAGACTCGGGAGACGCAAGGCACGCTGATCTGGGTGAGTCCCGAGGGCCGAGCTGAGATGCCGCCGGGCCACGCTGATGCCGCTCCCAGGACCCGGCTTCGCGTCGCCACCGCGCGACGCCGCGCGGTCCGCGCGGACCTCGCTCGCGGGCACGGAGACCGTCATCTTCTCGCAGCAGGCGGCGCGCATCGGCGAGTTCGAGACGCGCATCCGCGCGCTCGAGGCGGAGGGGAGCCCGCTCTACTCGACCGCGACCCCCTCGCCGGACCGGAAGGCGTCGCACGCGTCGTGGACGACCGACAGCCAGGACACCGTGATGCGCGGCGGGGCGGGGTCCGAGTATGCGCCGACGACGATCACGTCGGGGTCAGACCTGCGGGACGACGTGGAGGAGCTCCGGAGCGAGCTGCGGAGGTTGCGCGCGGAGCTGGGGCGGGACCCGCTCGAGGCGCCGCCGGAGTACCACTCGTAGCTCGGGAGGGGTGCGTTGGGTGCTCGCGGTCGTGTTTGCTGTTGCGTTTGCTGATGTGTGTCTTCAGGTCTTTGTGGATGCGCGACGAACTTTGGACTTTCGGGTAGGCCGCGGCTGTACGCTACGGCGTTGGTGCATGTTTTTGTACTCTTCACACTGCGTGTCCGTACTTCATCGACCGACATGCCTTGTGGACATTCTCAGGCACGTATGTATTCCGGATCGTCAGGTATGATCGCGTGAGGACTAGCGACAACCTCCCATCGAAAATCGACGACGGCCGTTGCCGAGAAAGGACCCACCGTCAAAACCAGTGTCACCATCAAACTCCTTCTTCTCAACCACCTCGTGCCCCCGCTCCCCCGACCTCGCGCCAGATTTCGGCCATGTCCGAGACCGAATCCCCCGCCCGCTCGATCCACCACCATCGATGAGGGCGTGGCGGCGGCTCTTCCGCCACCCGACGCAACGCACATGCGCGTTTTGAACTGCTCCGTCATCCTCGCCGTGCTCCTGGGATGGCGTCGGTTCGATCCTCGCCATCATTTCCTCCGACACCGCGCAGCTTCCCAAACCCAGGACGCGCAGTGCGGGGGCTGCGTATACGAGAGTGGCGGGGAGGACCTCGCGCAGGGCGCGTATGCGTTCGAGCTCGAGCTCGAACGCGGTGTCATCGCGTTGCGGAAGGGGATCCTACCCGCTGCAATCATCGTGGAGTACCTCTGGCTTGAGAGTGACGTCGAGGCAGACGGGTGAGACGGTCGACGCCAACTTGACCACGCTCCCCTGCAAGCTATCAGCTCACGATCCAGGATTAAAATGGCTCGAAGAGGACGCACGACCAAATCTGTAAACACAGTCCTACTTTCCACGTCGGAGTCGATGGTGATGCATTGATGTGCGGCGCTCGCAAGGGACATTTGGCCATCCGGCAACTTGTCCGTCTCTGGATCGTCCATCTCTGGTTCGCCCGTTTCCGCCCGCCTCCGTTTCCTTCATGCCCGGCTCTGATCAGGTTCGTGGGGTTTCTCTTCTTCCACGTCCTCATCCCTGTCCGCCCGTTTCGACTGGCGAGGTTGAGATCGTGCGCGACAAGCAGTGACGCTCGTATCAGCCGCTCTGTCCCAATCTAATCTAATCAGAGATGCAGGCGCCAAACTGACTCGGACTTGCAGTGACGTACTCCTGCTTGCCAGCGACCGCCTCGACGTTGGCAAGTCCTCTAGGACGCGCGTCCCACTGAGGCCACTCCTGGTAATCGCAGCCAGGTGAGCGGACCATGGAGCAGCAGGTGCGTGTAAGTATGCGCGTATTATTCTTTTGGTGCTCTGTTATTTGTCGGCTCATATGGGGCTACCGCAGCAACTCGTTTTCGCAACCGACAACGACAGCACAATTGGCAAGCGCATTTCCGGAACTGTCCTCCTCGCGACCGCCGTCCCCACTCTCGCCGTCGCAGGCGCGGCCATCGCGCTTCCCGCGATTGCATTCGCTTCAACCGGCGTTGTCGGACGTGCGCGTCCCTGCCTCTGTCCCTTCGATGGTTGTTGACGTCACGCCTTGTTCGCAAGTAGCATCGCGGCTGGGATCTAGAACTCTTCGAAAACTCAAAGCTGGGAACCTGCAATTTCACAACACCTACCGCAGCGACGTCGTGCACCACGATTTTTGCCTTGCCGAAAACACGTTTTCTCTCACCGATCCTGTGAGTGGCCCGTCGATTCTGGACTCTGCTCTCGCCAATGTCGTCACAAGAGACCACCTGCCATCTCTGAACTCGTGACGAGCGGCTTCTGTGGCCTCATTTCAAACCTTATCCGCATCCTGACATCGTGGCAGAATTCTCTGACAAGCATATATCTACTGTGTCACAATTCAAGCACTCCCCGTTTCACACTGCACCATACTGCTTCCCACCAAGTGCGATCTCTTACACATCGTAATGCGTATTGGAGTCGTGCCGGGATTGGTACCGGCAGAAAATGGTGAGCACCATGACGCCAACCATAAAGTTTCGTAGTGTATCTTACTTATTTGGCAGAAAGCGCCCCTCCCCCATCTGGCTCCGGGCCTCTATCTACCGTCGAGTCACCGGCGCAGGGTGGCCGCCCTCTCTCCAGCCCGACTCGCTCTTCGACGCGCTCCAGCGGCGTCAGCTCGTCTCGACCCCCCGCTTCCGATCCCCGGCCCTGCAAGTGTCGACGCACTACGCCGCCGGGCGCCCCAGACTCTTCCGAAGGCGCCGGCACACGGGCACTCAGGCGCGTCGGCGGGGCCGCCCTCATCACCGTCGGCGTGCCCGTCCTCACCGCCGTCACCGCGGCCTTTGCGATCCCCGTGGTCGTCCTCACCACCACCGGAGTCACTGTCGGTGTGCACGCTCGTCCCATACGCCGTGCATTTAGTGCAAGGCTCACGCGGATCCCTTGCAGGCAGCATAGCGGCCGGGATGCAGTCCGCGGTGTACGGTGCTCCGAGCGGCGGCTTGTCCCGGCTCCAGGAGGCGGGCGCGGCCATCAACTCGCGCGCCGTGGGCGCCGTTGTCGGGGCGGCGACCACCGCCGTCGCTGGAGGGGTTCGTTTGGCCGGTGGCGGAAACGAGAGCAAGCCTGAGAGCGAGGAGGGGAGCGGCGAGCGAGCGAGCGATGTTGATGACGAGCTGGATTGTGAATGCGAAGCCTGCGTGTGCGACGGCGACTGTCTGTGCAGGTGCAAGCGGCGCGCTCGGCGCGACAGGAAGACCAGGGCACAAGTGTGAGCGAATTCATATTTATGCGTGTATTTTGGTCTTTTGGGTGCGAGTCAAGGTTCGGTATCTTGTATGTCTTACGAGGAGCGTTGTTGAGAAGGGCGAATACGATTGGCGCGATGACGGTCAGGTAGAGATGGCGATGCATGCGATTCAAACTGGGTAAGTCCCGTCGGGAGACACAACGGCGGCGGCGCGGCCCTGTAAGTGTTTAGCGCTGTGCTGAGCCTGAGGTTTCCGATTGCGAAAATGTGCCGCCGGTGCTGCGGTAGCCCCCATACTGCGTCCCTCTTGCACCTGTTGCTCAAATAATTCCACTCATGCTGCATGCGCTCATCGATGGCACCGACTCCCTGACGTCCTCGTTGCACCGCGACCCGCTTCTAAACGCTTCAACGGCTACCCCGGCGTGCTCCGCACAGGCCTCCCTCGCCCTCTCAAACCCGCACACCGTCTCCGTCCCACTCAGCACCACCGCCCTCCGCCCCCGTCGCGCGCAAAAGCTCCCCGCGCGCACCGCAGACGCCATGTCATACGCCGCGAGCGTGCTCGTGTCCTCCCCGCCCGCCTCCTCGAACGGCGTCGCCGCGACCGTCAGCCGCTCCGCACCCGGCGGGACCGGAGCCGCCGCACCGCGCACCGCGAGCCCGGCGCGTCAAGCCGGACGTCGCGCAGCGCGGGCACACCGCGCAGAGGCCGTCGAAGGAGGGGCACCCCCCGAGGTGGCGTGGGCGTCGTCGACGCCGGCCCGCGCGGCGGCAGCACGCGAACCACCCGCCCACGCGGAGAGACGAGCGAGGGGAACGGGAGCGGCGCGTCCGGCTGAGCAGGGGAAAGCGTAGCGTCCGCCTCGATGTTGAGCTGGTGGTCCGTCGAGAGCGCCGCGGTATCGAGGTGGAGGTGGGTGAGGGCAGGGAACGCGGCGGCAACAGGCGCGAGCTGGCCGCGGGGCGTCGCTCGCTGCCGAGAATATCGAGCAGGGTTTCCCGGGGTGCCGAGAGGCGGCGGCGGCGGGCGGAGGGAAAGGTACGCGAGGTCGTCCCGTATGCGGTGCTATTCATCGACGGTGTCGATGTAGAGACCGACGTGGGCGACTTTGGGTGGGCTGCCGCCGGGGTCAACGGCGAGACGCGCGTGGTCATACGTCACTAGAGTCCACAGCCGTGCGTCCAAAACCCTATCGGGTGCGCCCAGGTTGACGGAGAACCGTGTTAATTCGCTGACTACCAGCACAGCGACACTTGATAGGGCTTTGGAGGTCCAACGTAGACTGCGGTACACTTCTCCATGTCTTCATAGGAGGACATGGAAACCCAGAGCTGCTCGAGGATGAGCCAGAGAATCTCGGGCGGCGGCAGCAATCTCGAGGGAACAGCAGGTTGTGCAAGCAGGTTGCGTGCGTCAAGTGCGTTCAAACGTAGGGAGGATGATTTGACTCACGTGTATGCCATCGGAGAGGTAGAGTGTCGGATTCGAAGGGAAAAATCTGCATGTCATGAGTACGTACAGGATAGAGTGACGACTTGGACTCTTACCTTGCAAAAACGCCCGTAGGGGAAAGTGGAGACGGGCGGAGAGAGCGAGAAGGGGGAGGCCGATGGCACGGAAGAAAGAGGTACCCGGCCGGGCGAGCTCCCTGTTTATGAGAGTACGCCCGAACCACAAGAATACGCGCGCGAGACGTCGAGGCCACAACGGAGCGTAGAGTAAAATCTCCACGCACAAACACATGAACGCTTGATCCGGCGATCGCCGGAGGCGTGAACGTTCAAATCACATGATCTACCGCAGCAGCGGCGCGACACGCGTTCGCGGCGCCTCTGCTTGTCTTCCTTCTCTCCTGCAGCGAGCGTACCAAGTTCTATGCTGAAGACTTGGGATGCTCTTCAAGCGCTCGCACACACCGTGTCCGTCATGAAACAGCCGTGTTCCCCCTGCTCTGCAACTTTGAATTCACTCGCGACTCCAGCAGCTGTCTCCATCCTTAGCTTGTGCGCATGCTGCCCGCTGCATCCAGGTACCACGATTCGACGTTCTGAACACGCCCCTCCATCCCCTGCACCTGCCCGGCTCGCAAGCACTGCACCTTCAAGCGCTACGGCGGCAGCCGCGCTCCCCGTGCTCGGCTTCGCGAGCGGTGGCGTCGCCGCAGGTAAGTGCCCGTACAGTCCACCAAAATCTCGCGTCGTGTCCCCCGCACTGTCTGTCTCGTACCGTGTCCCTCGCAGGCAGCATCGCCGCCCGGCCTCACGGACGGGATCTTCGCCACGCTCTAGTCCACAGGCGCAACCGTGGTCGCGCCGGCCGCGGGCACCGCAGTGGTCGGGTTCGGTGTCCTCGCCGGCGACTCGGGCGCGGCGGCGAACGGAAAGGGCACGTAGGGAGTGTCTCGAGACGTGCGCGTGCGAGGGAAGCTGTGAGTGCGCCGACTCGTGTATGTGCGCGTGCAAGCGGGCTCTTCGTGGGGAGTGCGAGACGAACGTTGGCGTCGCTGTGTCCGTCGTAGAGCCCGTTGATACTCGTCCTGAGACTGGATGTGATCTTTAGTATGGCTTTCTATGGTATCGTAATGGAACAAGCGATGCTGTTTTCGCCTCTCCCTCTCCCCTTAGCTCCTGGCGTGCAAGCTCTATGCGTCTGTAGTTGGCACCGTAATAGCGAGACTACCGAGTGTTGCCAGCGACCAATAGATCTTCGCGCGCTTCCCGTGGAAATAAGTAGGCTGCTCCCCGCACCCACCCGCCCTCCTCTCTCCCCGCACCCTCCTTCTCCTTGGCCACGACCGGAACGCCTCCTCGTCCACTGCATCCCTCCATCCGACCGAATGGGACTGTTTGGAACTCTGTTGTACCTGTCACTTGCCGTCCACGTCGGTACCCTCTTCTTCCCCGACTTCCTTCCCGCAATAGTCACCGGCGTACTCTCATTCCTCGGCTTCACCAAAGCAGGCATTGTTGCAGGTGCGCACTCTCTGCTTCCTTCATCTCCGGCTACATCACGCCCGCTCCCCCTGTGCACGCGCGGCCCCAGAACTCACACACACTACAGGGAGCGTCGCCGCCTTCATCCAGTCCAGGTTGTACGGTGGCTATACACGAGGCCTTTTCTCTCTGCTTCAGTCATGGGGTGCGACCGCGGCTCTGTCCACCACGTCCTGCCGAAAACTGTGGATGGTCGTGGTACTAGTCACCTGGATCGCATGGGCTTGCAGGGAGGAGTGAGGGGCGAGTCCGTCCAGTCACATCGGGAATGCCAGGGGTGGGTTTGGGATCCGCGTTGGACACCGGAAGGCTGCATAGTACCGACCACCGCGTTGTCGTAATCTGCGTCGAAATGTGTTGGCATAGACTCTCTATGTAAGTGAACCCATACAGATTTTCCACTCCAAGCGACGACATATAGCAGCATCGGGGAACAAACCGTCTGCAAGAGGTTTCACTGCAGGGTTGAAGGCGGCTCGCTCTCGGTTGCCGTTCAGATCCAGACGTCACGATCCGCTCCCTCTTTTCCCGCTTCCCCACCGACGCGCTCCTTGCCAAGGCCCACGCCGTGCGCGACGCCCTCGCCGCCGCCCTCGCCCGTGTCCCCTGGGCCGACTTCAAGGTCGCGCTCCTCGCGATCGGCATCACGCTCCTCGTGGTCGGGGGCCTGGCCGCCATCATCTTCCTCGTGGGCTTCACGCCCGCCGGGGTCGTCGGAGGTGCGTGTCTCCTGGCTCAGCAGCTCAGCGCTTCCCTCCGTCCTCGCCGCTCATAATCATATCATCCCCACCGCGTTCGGTCGACTCATGGGCGCCCGCGCCGCACAGGGAGCCTCGCCGCCGCCTGCATCCAGTCCGTCGTCTACGGCGCCTTCACCATGGGGTACTTCTCGCTCTTCCAGTCCGTGGGGACGATGCTACACCCGGCCGTGATGGTGCCGGCCATCATCGCGGGCGCCGTGTGTGTGCTCGTGTGGAAACTCACGCAGTGACGTGCGGACTAGATGGGTGTCGGTGGCGAGGGGTTTGGATGTGGGGGAGGAATACGGTCGAGGTCGTGACACACAAACCGGCACAACGTGCGTGCGATGTAGAGATGGCTATCTGGGTCTCGAGAGAGGGTCCAGTAATATCAGTGTACGTTCAGACATGATCATGGCGCGGACTGGGCCCAGAAACTGTTTATATATCTTCAGGACGTGCATACTTCGGGCATATCGGGGAAGGGCTTCACACGGGCGAGGCGCGTTCCTATTGCAGGCAACGTGCCTCTGTAGCAAGCCGTTCAGCACTGTTTGCTTTTATCTGGCAACATACAATGTCCTGATCACCATCCGATGGAACACTATCTCCGGAGAAGCGTCCCATTCACGTGATCTACCGCAGCTACACTTTCGCATCGACTCGCTTCCAACTCACCGCTTACAGCCGCCTCTGGAGCATACACTCATATATCCAGGCCGTCCGTGGGTCTTCCCTCACCCGCCACTCTCTCTACCACTCCACACCCCAACCCGATGGCCGCACGGTTCTTCACCAGAGTTGTCGGCGGGGCCCTCGCGTTTGCCGGGCTCGTAACCAGTGCGATAACAGCACTGGGCTTCACGAGCGGCGGTGTCCTCGCAGGTGCGCGTCCTCCCCTCGTTCCCGCTCGCGACTACGCCCCTGAGCTCATCTCTCGAACGTTGCAGGCAGCGCGGCCGCGGGGATCCAGTCCGCCTTCTACGCTGGCTCCACGGGCGGCGCCTTTTCCATCTTGCAGTCCATAGGAGCCACAATCCCCCCCTTGTTGCCGATCGTCCTCGTGCTCTCGGGTGCTCTGTTGTTGGCGTGGTCGTACTGGTGGTAGAGGAGGCTCTGTGCGACGTGCACGTCTTCGCGCCATTCTTTTCCGCCCCCGCCCTCTTTCCCGCGCATTCCGTATGTAATCCAATCTGCCCTCACCCTCTTCCTTCGTCCACCCAAGCCACAAATCCCCTGAATCGGACTATGACACACCACGATTATGCTATGCACTTATGACTGCGTATATGAACTCGCACACTGGGTGCAAGTCAAGGCGCCAGGAAACAAATACCAGACCTTATTCCTCGCACCTTCGTTCGACCTCGTCTCCCCGACCGTGTCGCGTTACCGATCCGTTTGGTTCACGAGCGTGACACTCTGGCAGGGGCGTCGAGGCGGCCACTCGCTTGAGCGCGGGTCTGATTCGGATGCTGCAACACAGGTTCAGAACAGCATGAGACCAAGATCGACGCTCGCGGGCAGCTTGGTCACCAGCACGAGCGGCGCGGGGACGTCGAGCCGGAGGTGCCGGAGGCTCTGGCACGCGTCCGCCACCGCCGCGTCGAACGCGCACGGGCGCGCGGCGTCGTGCGGGAGCCCGTACGCGCTGCAGCGGCACGCGAGCGACAGCCCGAGGCGGAGTGCGGTGAGCGCGGGGCGCGGCCGGCCGCCGCCGGCGAGGGTGAGGCTGTCGACGAGCGCGCGGAGTTCGAGCGCGGCGGCGGAGTCGAGGTGGAGGCGCGCGAGCGCGGGGAGCGCGGTGGCGAGCGGCTGGAGGGGGACGGGGCCTGGGGAGAGGGATCCCCCAAGGAGGACGGTGGCGGCGTGGCAGGTCGCGAGCGAGCGGCGGAAGCGGGCGTGGAGGAATTCCCAGAGAGCGTTTCACGTTCCGTCGGTGTTGATGGTGAGGCGGAAGCGCAGGACCACGGGCAGGGTGCGCGTTCGTGTGATGCGCTTGTAGTCTCTCACCGCCTAAGCTCAGATACGGGTTTGTTGGAGGGTACTGAATTACTACCTGCGCAGCGACCCCGGCGAGGAGCGGCGTAATGGATGGTATATCGCGACACGCTCCCAGTGAGATGATGCGGATAACAAACACAGTTCGATGTTGATTTGGACGACGTCTAGCGGAAGGTCAGGAAAGTATGCCACGGTACGATCTATGCATCAGCGTTGGGGTAAAGGGCGGTATGCAACGGAACTTACTTCCCGACTGTTCTTGAACCAGTCATTTCACAAATACTTCCGAAGTCGGCGTGGAGCTGACCGATGAGCAGCCAAACTGGTTGACAACAAGGGCAACTGACCTCGGAGACGATCTGCGTTACAGATAGTGCGGAAGAGAGAAATTTCGGTAAAAACGGCGTAAGGCCTTAAAATGGTAACACCGAGATGGAGATAGACGTACATGTCGCGCATCCCTCACGTCGTAGGTGGACACCTTGTGATATCGGTCTGTGGGTCTGTGAGAGCATGGGGTGAAAACAAGATGGTAGGGAAGCAATGCAGAACACTGGATATCGGACAGTAGCACCGATATGTCGCGCTGCGTATTATTTTTCGTCACCCCGGACTTCTCATCTTCATCCCGCCTTGTTTTCTTTGTCAAGTTGGTGGCCATGACGACCGCACGGATGCGCCGCCCACCATCTTGCTGGATCTTACATGCCGGTTGTTAGCTGCACATAGAACGGCGAAGGCCGAGCTGAGATCATGGTCGGAGGACAAGTGACACGTCAAGGGTAAGCGCTTAATGTTTCAGGTCTCGTGGGAATGGAAACGTGATCCACGGGAGCACGACAGCACGGTCATGATTCAAATATTCAAGCCCAAGCCTCCTCCTCGACACGCATCCATCCGCTTCAAGCCAAGAACGCGGACCGCGGTACCGTAAAGAACAACGCGCGCGGCCGACATCTACGTTGGCCGCCATCCGCGTTCCCTGCATGTTTGACGTCGGGCCGGCCTGCTTGCTAGCAGTCGTGTACTAGTACCCGTTGAGCTCCCCGTACGCGGGGAGGACGTGCATCGCGGTCCAGGCGAGAGGCACCGCAGACGGAGGCAAGAGGTCCTTGAATAGGATGAGCGAGGTCGAGGACGCGTTCAAGAGGGAGGAGCTGCGCCGCGTGGTGGACGCAGAGCGTTACCCCCGAGCCCCGACACGCGGGTGATGGGGAGGACGCCGCTCAGCACCTGGTCCTCCGTCGGGATGTACTATGGTCTCAGTTTTCCTTTGGTGCTCTGCTATTTCTCGGCGTTCAGATGGAGTCTGGCGCTTTTTACGGCAGCGATGTCAAAACTCAATCCAAGGGCTACCGCAGCACGCCTCCAAAACTCGCTGGTAAGGCGGTCACACTGGGAGCCTCAGACTCAGCACTCGGGATCCCTACACCCTCCACGAAGGTCCGCCTTCAGCTCATCTTCGTCCACTTGTTCATCATGGCCGTAACAGGTGGGTGCCTCGTTCTGCTGTGGCAATCCATAGCTTGGCACCGCTCGGCAGCCCACTCATGTAGCATGCTTCCCGCAGACGGCCCTCCTCCCCCATACACCCCCCAGGGTGTTCCGTCCTCGGAAAAAGAGCCAAGCTCGTCTCGCAAGGGCAAGAGCCCAGGGCCACCGCGCCCCTGCACCTGCCCTCGCCCCGCCGCCGAGCCTCCTCATCCGAACGCCGTCGACGACGAAGACAACGACGGAACCAAAACCCTCAGGCGCATCGCCGGTGGCGCCGCCATCCTCATCGCTGTCCCCACTTTGGCCATCGCAGGCGCGGCCATCGCGCTTCCAGCGATCGGATTCGCCTCTACCGGCGTCGTCGGAGGTGCGCGCCGCGCCAGCCTCCCTCCGTCCGTCGCGTCGACGACCGTTAACGCCGTCCCTTTTCGCAGGCAGCATCGCGGCCGGGATCCAGTCCGCGGTCTACGGGGCGACCACCGGGGGCCTGTTCTCTGTGCTTCAGTCGGTTGGAGCGACGATCGTCGCTCCTTCGCTCGGCAGTGTCGTCGCCGCGTCGGGGTCTGCCATCGCCGGAAGTTCGCTCCTCGCAAGCGGAAGCGGAACGCCAGACGAGGGCAGGGAGGAGGGGGGTCCCGGCGGCGACGAGGGCGGGGAACACATCTGCCCCTGCGATGCCTGTGAGTGCAGCGACGATTGCGAATGTGAATGCAAGTGGCGCGCCCGTCGCAGGAGGAACAGAGGTGATGGGGAGTAACATATGGGTGCCCTCATGTTGTATTTTTTCAATCGACCGTACAACGAAAACGCCTGGAGAATGTACCATTCACGCAAACGAACTCAAAATAGGATTCGCATCGCAAGTCTCTTTTGGCATAACGCCCGTCTTACACTATATACGCGGCCACGATTTGTGCACGTGTGCACGCAAACGGGCTCTGTGCGGGGAGCACTTGCAGGGATGTCGGTGCGGCTGGGAGCGATCTGCAGTGCTTTTTTCTGCCGTCAGGCGTTCGAGGGGGATGGAAGACGGACGAAAAGGTGGCTATATGCGCTCACCTCCGACGTCCGCCCGGTTCTCGACGAGAACGGCGTACGTACTGTGGACAAGCGTGCACACTCAGGCAGCCCGCGCCTCTCACTGCTCGCGCCTCTAAAGGATCCCAGGCGATCCCTCTTCGACTTCCATCCTCACGTGATCTACCGCAGGCACGCTTCTCGACGCGCTGCAGCACCCGCATTCCCTCCGTCTGTCGAGGCGCATATAACATCCCCGCCTCACCCCCGACCCCCTCTCCCCAGCCACCTCTCCCCGCCTCCGACCACTCTCTCAACATGGGAAGTTGGCTCCGCATCGCAGCGAAGGTGCTCTTGTTCGCCGGTGCCACCCTCGCCGTCGTCGGCCTCACCGCCGCCGTACTCCCCGCACTCGGCTTCACGACCGCCGGCATCGCCGCAGGTACGCGTTCCGCTCACGACGCTCACCGACCCATCCCGCCCTCTGACCGTCCGCGCACCGTGTGCAGGCAGCGCGGCCGCCGGCATCCAAGCCTTCTTCTACGGCGGCGCGACGTGCGGCGTCTTCTCCGCCCTGCAGTCCGCGGGCGCGACTGGCATGTGCACCGCACTAGCCCAAGTCCTCATCCCTGTGGGTGTCGGGCTCGTGATTTCGGTCGGACTTGGCTACGCAGTGGCGGGGTATAGGCGGCGTGCGAGGCGGCGCGCTCGGAAGGCTGCGGAGAGGGCCAGCGGCACCCCCGAAATGACCCACGTGTAGCCTATTTGGATTTTTCGGTCGTCCTTGATGCGTGTGCGCAATGCGCCGCATGGGATTGCCGGCTTGGTACTTGGAGTATTACTAGGGTTTGTGCATGTAGTAGAGCCGCTTCGCCTCGTGCGGGCGGATCCAGTACTTGGCACCCTGCAGTGTGCATGTTTCGACGTGATCACACCAATGTATCTTTCGCGTGGTATGCGCAGCTGCACTCGTCGGCTGTCTCTACCCAAACTTCAAAGCTTCAACACCACCATGGGATGGGCCCATAAATTATGCGCCAGAGTTCAGATTGTCAGAAGGCGGTAATCGTGAGGTACTCACAGTCGCGCTTGGGAAGACTTTGAATATATCGGGCAAGAGCCGTGGAAGTGAGCCAGTTTGCGTTCAAGTACTGAAAGAGAATCTGGAGACCGTACCCGCCTCTAGCGAGAGCCGAAGACGCGCATGCGCTCGACCTTCTGTTCCGTGATCCGCTCAGGCGCGGCTGCAGAGTCGTCCGATATTGGCAAAGGTGCTGTCTATGAGCAGCGCTGAAGTTCGAACATCGGCTCGGGTCACTCACCCAAAGCCATCAGACGTTCCACCGAGTTCGGCGCTCGTCGTTATGCGCCGCTGGAGCTGGGACAGAAGAACGTTGGTTCAGAAGACCGGCGGGGTGTGGAAGTGTTAGAACGAGAGGTCGAAGGGGGAGAAGCAGAGGAAGTCGCTAGTCAAGCATTGTACATCAGGCGCCAAACTGACTCGACACTGGTAGCCGATTAGATTAGATTAGACAACGACACGAGCGTTTGCAACGTTCAACGACGTTGCAACCGGTCCTCCCCCGCATCCTCCCCGTGCCCCTTCAGGACGTCGACGTGGGCGGCGCCCGGCACGCTCCGCGGACTGGGGTGCAGCAAAGAGACCGCCTGTGGTGCCGCCGTACATAGCCGGACTAGCTGGAGGCCAGCGACTACGCTCCGTCAGACTCGGCGGGTTCGGCATCCTCGCCATCGCGAGTGCGACGTCGATTCCTGCATATGTGAGTGCAAGCGCGCTCTCCGTGGGTAAGTGCTCGCAAGACGGAGGTCAAATTTCATCCCGGTGTCCGTGCGCGCGCAATGGAACAAGTGGCTTCCCATCATGGCACGCCAGGCGTTCGAGGGGGATGGAGAACGGAGGGAAAGGTGACTGCTGTATATGTGCCCACCTGCGGCACAGCCCACGGGTCCGGTTCTCGGCGATGACGCCGTACGTACTCTGGGCAGGCGAGCAGCTCACGCTTCTCACTCAGGAAACCTCTTCGATCGGAATGGAACAGGCGATGGCTCTTCGGTTTCCGTCCCCGCGCGATATACCACAGGCAGCCTTCTCGACGCTCCGCGGTACTCGCATTCCCTCCTTCCGCCCGCCGTCTGCATATAACATCCCCGCGCCCTCAAGCCTGTGCCACATCCCTCACTAGTAACCTGCCCCCACTCCCAATGAAGTGGCTACGTATCGCAGCAAGGGCCCTATCCATCGTCGGGGCCGCCCTCGCCGTCGTCGGCTCCGCCGCCGCCACGCTCATTGCGGTCGGCTTCACCAGCTCCGGCGTCGCCGCAGGTGCGCGTTCCGCTCACGACGCTCATCGACTCGTTTCGCCGTCTAACACCGTGTACAGGCAGCCTCGCCGCCGGTGTCCAATCCGCCGTCTACGGCGGCGCGACGTGCGGCGCGTTTTCGGTTCTGCAGGCCGCGGGCGCGACGATGTGCGTCGCCGTGCCACAGGTCCTCCTCGCCGTCGCTGTCACGCTCCTCGTGGCTGCAGTCGTCTGCTGGGCGGTGTGGAGGTACAGGGAGCACGCGAAGCGTGCTCGGGAGGCTGCGGAGGGGATCGCGGGCACCTGCGGAAAGGCATACGACGTATAATCTATCTGTCTTCTTCGTATGGCTCTGCGTCGTCGAGGACGATATGTAAACTTTCCTTGCCAATATGACACTCTCATTGCAGCGCCGTCTAGGTCCACTCTCCGCGTGCGTCGTGGATTGCCGGATTGGGGCTTCCAATAGAGCTGTCTCGCCGAGTGAGGGCGGATCCAGTGATATCAGTGCATGTCTAGACATGATGCATGATCACACCGACGCATCTGTCGGCGATATACATATATACAGCTGCTCAGCGCAGCCCCGGGGGTAATTCATCAAAGCCGCACTAGTCGGCCGTCTCCACGTCGGTGACTCCAAATTTAAAGCATCACTACCACCGCGGGATGGACCCAGAAATCTTGCACTAGAGTTACGTTCAGATTGTCAGAAGGCGGTACGTAGTCACAATCGAGAACTGGGCAGACTTCGGGCATGTCGGGGAAAACGCCGACACAGGCGAGACGCGTTCTTCTTGCATGCACTAACACGCCGTTTAGATCTGTAACGTCTGTACTAAAACTGCTTTGATGTAACGTCCCTATTGACTACCATCCGATTGAATGCCGGCTCCGGAGAAACGCTCCAACTCGGTCCGTCCACCTGGCAGTACTGTCGGCGCACAGAGCAAGAGGGATGCCCTCTCCCCGAGCTCTTTCCCGCGCTCCCGAGGTCAGCTTATAATAATCCTGCTGTACTGTTAATATCCGGTAAAAACGGAGTAGCTATAGCCCTCTAAATACTTAGAACGCATTGTCCGTCACGAAGTCAGGATCGACTCCCGCCGGAACATCCCGCCGCTCGCGGAACCTGATCTGCGCGGTGCCGTCGGGCATGACGAACTCCGCAAAGTACTCGTTCGCGGGCCGCCCGCCCCCACCGACAATCTCCATGTCGTAGTGGACGATCAAGTGCGCGAGCAGCGCCTTCATCTGCGTCGCCGCGAAGAACCTCCCCGGGCTGCGGGTCCGGAGTCAGCTCTCGTCGCCAGTGCGTCGTCCGAGAACCTGCAGCTCACCACGCGTGCCGCCCGTGTCCGAACGGGATGTACAGCGGGGACGTGTTCACGAACTGGTGCTTCACGCCTTCGCCCGCGTCCTCCCCCCGCATCTCCGCCCACCGGAACGGCTCGAACGCGTCCGCGCCCGCGCCGTTCACCGCGGCGTCGAGGTGCGTCGCGAGCGCGGGCACGGCGACGAGCGTCCCGCGCGGGACGGACGTGCCGTCCCGCAGCGTGAGGTCCTTCAGCGCCTTGCGCATCACCGACACTAAGCAGCACGGCCCGCGTCAGTACGACCCGCCGACGCCGCAGCCGAGAGACGCACAGAGGGAGACCCCGTTCGTCCGCTGCGACTCGCGCATGAGGCTGTCGAGCCTCCAGAGGCGGCCGAGGCCCGCCTTCGTCCAGCCGTGCGCGGCCACCGCGGCGGCGGCCTCCGCCCGGAGCGGGGCGAGCAGCGCGGGGTCCGCGGCGAGGTGGAAGAGCGCGTGGGTGGCGCTCTGCGAGGTCGTGTTCGTCGCGACGAAGTTGAGCATGAGCACGCGCTGGACGATCTCCGCCAGGGGCGTGCGGCGTGGGATGGACTCCTCGAGGATCCAAGTGAGCATGTCGTTCTGCGCGGGGCGACGGCGCGAGGGTCAGATTGCGTGACGCGGAGGAGAAGAGAGAACGGGCGTACGGGCTTGTCGTCCCAGTCGGCGCCGTGTTCCTGGAGCTCAGCCATCCGTTGCTCCACGATGGGAGCGAGCAGAGTGACCGCTCGCTCTACTATGGCTTTCACGCGGCCCGATCGGAGCCCCGCCAGTCTGTGGACGCATCAGTTGTGCAGCGCCGGCGGCCTTCTGTTGTGTGAGGCTCACGGTTTCAAGAAGAACGGGAACTTCTTCATGTGGGCCCGGTGCTGAAGTACCTCCCGCACGAACTGGATGGTGAGATCCAGGAACTCTTCGTTGCGACCTGAACGAGCCAATGAGCCACCAGAACCTCATCCCACAAGCTAGTGCGTACGTACACAACGGCGTCCCGACGAAGACGCGGTTGCTGAGCCGCGCGACGATCTTCTGCGCCGTCGGGAACATCGTCACGGCCGCCCACTCTGCCAGGACGCGAGAGCCAAAGCAAACGTCAGAAACGAAGGCGATGGCATCGAAGGAAATCGCGTACCGTCGCCCTTGGCGGGGATGAACTGCGGAACGACCAAAGAGATCTCCTGTACAACGTCTGGAACGATCGCGGGCAGCGAGCGCGTGAGCTTCCCGCGCACGAGGTCGAACTGGTACGGATCGTCGATCCACTGGCGCCCGATGGTCGCGTGCGTATGCAAGTTCTGCAAAGGCGCCTCTGTCAGCGTTCGGGTGTCGTACATTCGCGCGGCCTGGAACCCACATCTTCGGCGGTCTCCAAGAAAGACATCTCGTCGTCCGGGCGCGTTCGGAGGTCTTCCGTCATCTCGGGGCCGCTGACGATGACCGCCCACCTGTCGGGGGTGGCCACCTTGAAGGGGCGACCATAGTACTGTTGAAAGTTTGTCGGTGAAAGACGATGACGACGGGAAGTGTAGGGCACCTTCTGGTATCCCTCAGCTAACACGATCTTCCCATCGTGGAGGAAACGCAGAGCGGAGAAGTAGGATAGTCCGGGAGCGACGACCCGCCGACGGTTGGGATCCCTCTCAGCTAGACAGAAACGACGGTTAGCTGGTTCTCTGCGACAAGCGATAATCACTAGAGCGCCCACCGGATCGGACAGCCATTTCAGCGCGACGAGCGCAATCACGGCTGCGACGGAGAAGGTGTACAGCACAGATTGAGAATTTAGAGCGTCCATGGTGGCGAAGTTGAGGACTTTGGCTGGTAAGAACTGCTAGGCAAGAGAGGTGCGACGTCCTCTGTCATGCTCTCTCCCCGCTTTATACTCGACCCTCACCTCGCAACACGGCATCCCAAACGAGCCTATCTCTCTCAGCGCCCGATCAGGCAAGTCACAAGGACGCGGGCGAACGAACGTACCCGAATCCAAACCTTCTCGCTGACAAACGCGACGTCCTTCGTTTGAATTCGCATCTCCCAAAGCGGGCGTCCGTGCAGCGCACATCGACGAGCATGAGACTGCGCGTCCGCGAGGCCCGGCCGCGCGGCTCGCATCACTCGCGGGCGTGCAATGCGTTCGGAGGGAAATGACGAGCCCGAATGGCCAGCGAAGAAGCAGCCGTCGCGCGAAAGAAGGGCGCGCGGATATGAAGCGCTGATGCCCAATCCCACGCCGCGTTCGGCCGAAGGCGTGTCGTGACGCCCATGGTCGCAGAACGCGAGGATCCGCTCTTGCAGTGCTTCTGCGGCTAAAGAATTGCCAAACCGGGGGATCAGGCCTCGACGCCTCAGGCCCAGGAGTCAGCGACCGAGCGTGAAGATGAGGATGTACCCTAGTCATACGCACCGTACGGTACGACGCTGACGGTTATCCGCTTTTCGCGGACTCGCCCCTTCCCTACTGCAACGGCACTGCTCTCCCCACAGAGTACGGCCTCGCGACGTCATAGCTATGGCGGTGGGCCGAGCTAGCAAATCTTATTTTCAAGCATCATGGCTCAAGAGTCAAGAGGACGAGCACCCAAGAGGACCTCTGGGACACAGGTCGCGCGATCACTTACACGAACGTCTAGGGGAGGCGAGGGCGCTCCGGAGGGGATATCGATAGCCCGGCGCAAACCAATTCATGATTACGAGGGCTTGGAAGGGCGAACGGCAGCGCGTTCACCTGTGCAGACGCGTCGCAATGAGTGCAAATCATCGGAGGGGCATACACAAGTCGAGACGAACCCACCAGCAGGCGCGACCACCTGACCTTCTGGGGTTAAAGTGGGCCCGGGGTTGAAGGCGAGAAGAGCCTTGACAAGCGCATGGTCACTGCGTCGACGGAGTTCAAGTCGGGGAAACACGGAGGCCCGTAGCACCCGACGGGGCCGCATCTAATCTAATCTTCAACCAATCAATCAACTCAAGCCGCGATACCAACACATCGTCATACCGCGCATCTACTACTAGCCCCATCCGTGCACCTCAGCCGAAGCCTCCTGTACATACGAACCATAATGGGCCCGAGTCCACCGACGCAGCGGGCTCGCACCGCCTTCACCCACCTCGAGTGGCATCCCCGTCGGAGCGCTCCCGGCACATCCGAGAGCCGTCGGGCATACCGCGTACCTTCGTACCCGCACGCGCGGCGCCATGAGCTCCTCCCACCAGAGCGGGGCTCTACGACAAGCACGCAATTCGCCGACGTGAAGCGAGATCAAATTTACAACGGGATGCTACAAACGATTGTGTGTATGTGGGGGTGACGGCGGTCCGACTCGTGTGAGCGCATGTGTACTAAAGTCCAACAGACCAGAGTCCGGCTCCAAGCATCCCGAGCAGAGCTACCTACACCGACAGCCGCGCGGTGTCCAGCGTCCGCGGGAGCTCGAGCGCGTCCGCGTCCGCGTCCGGCTTGCCGTCCATCAGCGTGCGGGAAAACGTCTGCGCGTGAGAGTGAGCATGCGCGAGCGCTCGGGCTATGGCAGACGTGGACGTGGGCACGAAGGCGCTCACCCGGATGCGCACGGGCGCGGGGGTGCGGCCGTCCTCGGACGTCGTCTTCAGGTTATCGCGCTGAGGAACGCGGGCACGAGTCGATCGATCAGCCCAACGAAACAGGGAAGAGGGGGAGGGAGACGAGACGCACAAGGTCGTCGACGTGCGCGCCCTGACGCGTCTGGCTCTCGTGGAGCGAGGAGATGACGGGGAGGACGTGTTGGTGCGCCTGCCGCGTGCGTCGGCGGAGCGACTTTCGCGCGTTCAGCCTGTCGAGCGTGCGCGTGGGCATCAGCAAGTGCGTCTGACAGTGACGTGACGGGGAGGGCGTGATGGCGATGGTTGAGTGCACATGCGCACGTCGCCAGTGGCCCCCTGGTGCGAGAGCGGGTCATCAGAGACTCACGTTGCGAGTGTGGAGGTGGCGTAGACTGTCGGGATGACGTTAGTGAGAGGGACAGACGTGCTGGGGCGTGGTCTATCACGGCGGAGAAGGAACGGACGTACGTTTCGAGATCGAGAAGTGGAGGGCAAGGAATATTAGATTCCGGGGCATGGAGAGCCACTGTATGTTCGACCGTCCGACAAACTAGGTGAGCAGGCGCCATGTGAGCGTGGGGTGCGCAAGTACGTACGCAGACGAGGGAGACAGCGGTGGTAACACTGCAAAGACACATGCATCACTCCGATCAGTCCGGGATGCAGATAAGGCGGAGGTGAGAAGGCGAACCTTGTAAGTAGACCTGTCTCAACGGTATATAATGTCACGACGTCGATTAAGTGGTCAGTACTGCCGAGCGCCTTAGTAATCACAGTTCGACAAAAGTCACGGAGAACGTACACGGTAGAAAAGCCCGTCCGGCTGCGTTGCAGGAGGGTGATTAAGGTTACGGTAATGAAGACGTCTGTCGCAGTAGACAGCGAGAGGCCCATTGTGAAAACCCACTGCGAACAGTCAGTTTCACGCTACGAACGATGATGCATGTGCCACTCACACCGACTTGATCGACAAACTGCTCATAGCTCTGTAGCGTGATCCTGGAGGCCATGTATCAGCCCTGATCATGCGACCACGCCAAGGGACTAACATCTCGAATGTTGATACTAGGCACCAGATAGGGTGAGCAACCATGTTTGACATGACAGCGGGCAACCAATCAAGCACGTACCAAGGGCAGCGGCTGTGAGGAATTTCTCCGATTGAGCGTTTACCCGAGTGCGGTAGTATTAGTGACGTACCGAGACGGCCGCCAGCGAGAAGAATCTTAAAATCACGGGGGCCTTTAATGAGCGCGCGGGCGAATAGTTGGTACGAAGAGACTCACTATGGGGGCCGTTAACAGCCACGAGCAACCGCTCACTGCGGCAAAATCAGGCCTCGCTTCTGTGGCGAGAGGGAAGGACGTACAGATATAGACGCGGTGTGCAAAAAAGCTGCGGAAGGGGATGAGCGTGAATGGACGAGGTTCGGATTGCGTCCGAAGAGCGCTCACCAATGTGATATGAGAGTCACAATAGCCTGGGCGCGGGGCGTTTGAATTAAAAACGAGGCGGGGAAAATAAAACGCTCTTGGACTCACGGTGATCGCGACTGTAAGCTTTGCGGGCGGCGATGGGAGGTCAGACGAGGCACGCAGGAAAAGGAGGAAGAGCGGCGAACTTACTGCAATGGTCCTAGAAGGCGGGGGAGGACGGCATGGGCGCGTGAATGCAGAACGGGAGATGGAGACGGACCATGGGATGTAATCGTGGATGGTGCTGCTTCCCCAATGTTGGATGAGGTATATCCAGACAGAGGCGAACGCCATCGCGAGGTGGAGGCAGTCGAGCAGCCTAGAGCGAGCAGGGGACATTTGTGTGGGAGCAATGCAGGACAAGAGCGAGACTTGCGTACCACAGGGTGGAGACCTTTTCGCGTGCATATAGTCAGGTCCGGAGGAGAGGGTGGGGGTGAAAGCAGGGCTCACGATGAGGGTGTTTTGACGGAAGTCGTCGCGTCCGTACAGTCTGCAGTAGATGAGGGCTTGTGTTGTCACCCCTCCGGACAATCTGGACGCGGGGCGAGTTCGAAACTGGGCTGGGTACATGGAGTGGAGGGTGGGCTCACATGGCCGAAACTAGAGCACCGATGAGGATAGCACCGACGGTGTCTTGGACGGCCATGGCACATCGCGTCCGGGCGGGTGGGGAGGAGAGGAGCGGGGCGAGCGCCGCGCGGGCGTCGGAGGGAGGGAGAGGGCGGGGAGGATCCAGGCGGTTTGGGCGGACATTGGGCTCGAGTTGTCTCGCCTGCTCGACCGGCGGACGATAGATGAAGATCGTTGACGTCTGTGAGAAGACTGCGCGCGCGCGCCTGCGTTTCTCCGGATATGGCTCTCATCTAGCCTTTTGCGGGTCTGCCACGGTCGCGCGCCTATCCTTGCCCCGCGCGCCGAGTTCGACGAACGAGTCCACACACCTCGAGGCTCGACATACCTCGTATCCGGATATCCGCCTAGGTGCTCCCACCATTCAGCCGAGCCGACGTTCCTCCTGCACATGCACACGCAGCGGAATGAAGGTGTCCTCGCGCTCGAGGAAATGAACATCGCGGCGGATATGGTTAAACCCGCGCGCTACGTCTCGAGGACGAGGACGAGACGCGCCACGCCCCGTGCTCCCTGCGCGACGCGTTCAGCTGTCCTCCAAGCCTGTGTCGCCGAGTGGGCGTGTCATCTCCGCGAGCCGTGGCGTGGTCGCAGCTCTGTCCCAGCCCCCAGGCACGGATCGGTAGGCTTTGGTGCCACGGTCGCCACTTACTTACGCATCTCCGTCAGCTCAGCGACGAACACACCGGAAGACGGATGCGAGTCACTTGCGGGAGGAGGCCTGCAGTAAAATCCTGGCATGTGTGTCAGTAGCTACTCGAGTCCCCTCTCAATTGGGCGGGTGGATTGATGAATGCTCGCACTTTCGCAAACGAAATGAACGTACGGGAACATGTTGTCAAGGGAAATAGGTGGACGGCGTAGCGCGTGGCCCGCGGTGGCAGAAGAACGCCTGGTCATCGCGTGAGGGGCGTGAGAAGACTCGGCCGAACTTCCTTTTCTGGTGTGGCTCTCGCATCGAAAATCTGGTCAGGCTCGAGCGAGTCGTCCACTGCCTACTCCCGTCCACCTCCTCCGCTCTCTCGACCGTAGACCCCGGCTTGCACTGGAAAACACCTCCCTCATATCCTCGACCACACAACCCCCTCTGATCGAACAAGATAGCGTCCCTCCGCCAGCTCGTCCAGCGAGCCCTCACCTCACCACTCCGTCCCATTGTACATAGCATAATGCCGGGACTCACGGGAGAATCGAGAAAAATTGCCGGGTACGAGTTCTTCGAAACCGTTCTCGGCAGCCCCAAGTTCATTGTTGCGCCCATGGTCGACCAGAGCGAGCTCGTACGTCTCCTCTTCACCCGCCTCCCCGCCTCCCGCCTCCGTCTCCTCCTTTTCGCGTGCTGCGCTATATCTCACCGACCTTTCCCGCAGGCATGGAGGAAACTCTCCAGGAGGTACGGCGCCCAGGTGCGTCTCTCAACGTTTCGCGCTTACGACGCGTGCTGAAGCCGTTCTGGATAGTTGGTGTACACGCCCATGATCAACGCCAAGGTACGTTCCACGGGCTCCTGTATGCGCGATGAACGCCGAGTATATCCCTGCGCAGATGTTCGCCGACGCAAAGCACAAAAACTACCGCGAAGTCCAGTTCAACACCGTGCAAGGAGAAGAAGGCGGACCCGAAGACAGGCCGCTCATTATCCAGTTCTGCGCCAACAACCCCGACTACCTCCTCACCTCCGCCAAGGCACTGGAACCGTACTGCGATGCGGTTGACATCAACCTCGGGTGCCCGCAAGACATCGCGAAGAAGGGTCATTATGGGTCGTTCTTGCAAGACGAGTGGGATCTCATTCACGACCTCAGTGAGTCACTTCCTTCTCTCGTTGCGGACGCACCTCTCAACTGCGGAGGCCAGTCAGCATCTTGCACAAGAACCTGTCCATCCCCGTCACTGCCAAGTTCCGGGTGTTCCCAACGATCGAGAAGACGGTCGCATACGCGAAGATGCTCGAGCACGCCGGCGCGCAAATGCTCACTTGTCACGGTCGCACGCGCGAACAACGGGGCCACAGATCTGTGAGTTTGCGCCTTCGTTGCGTAGGTTTTTCTCATCTTCGGCGTAAAAGGGCGTCGCGGACTGGGAGAAGATCCGGGCGGTGAAGAACGCGGTCTCCGTACCCGTCGTCGCGAACGGGAACATGCTCTTCCACGGGGACGTCGAGAGGTGCCTCGCTGCGACGGGCGCGGACGCTGTCATGTCCGCCGAGGGTAACCTCTACAACCCTACCATCTTCACTCCCGCCCAACCCTCTGCCTCTACCTCCACTACTCCCTCACCCATGGCGAAATACCTCACCGGCCTCCACCCGCGCAGCACCACCCTAGCCTCAGAGTACCTCACGATCGTCCGCGAGCAGAAGACGCCCACGGCGCCGAGCGCGGTCAAGGGCCACCTCTTCAAGCTCCTCCGGACGGCGCTCGCGAAGCACACGGACCTGAGGGAGTGGATGGGCCGCGTGCGCGCGGAGAAGGACGAGCGCACCTGGGACGGCGCGTTCGAGCGGTACGAGGAGATCGTCCGGGAGCTCGACGCGCGGCTGGACGTGAGTGCTTCTTGTCTCGAGTTTGCGCGTCTCCGATCTGGGGGCTTCTCCGAAGGGGGAGACTCTGGATCGCTTCTTCTCCCCCCTCTCTCTCTGTGAGCCTCGGCTGACGCCCTTTCGCCGTTCGGCAGGCAGACATCGAGGCCGCGGGCGCGAAGGACAAGCCACTCGAGGAGCTCGCGCGCCTCGATCCCGCGACCGGCTTCCCCGTCCTCCCCCACTGGCTCGTGCAGCCGTACATCCGGCCCCTGCCTGAAGAGCCCGCATTGTCCAAGCCCGCGCCGGCGAGCCAGAAGAGCGGGGTTGCCGTCGTGGTCGGTACGTTAAAGGCCGTTCGCTGCGATCCAGTCGCGCGCTGCTCACGCTCGAAACAGATCCGGCGTGCGAGCCGCAGGTGGCGCGGGGCGCGAAGCGGCATGTTCCGGATGAAGAGGGGGATGCGGGCGCGGGAAGAAAGGAGCGTGCGGAGGAGGCGGGAGAAGACGGGGAGGTAGAGGCGAAGAGGGTGAAGTTGGGCACGGGCGGAGCAGGCGCGGCGATGGCAGATGGATATTTGAGTGAAGATCTGTGACAAGGACCCGGATCTGACGCTACTTTGAGCGTGGCCTGGGCATCTGGCCTCTACTCCTGCGTCTTCCTCGAGTGCCGCATGAACAAGAACTTGGAGAACTCGGCTACGCGTGTATCAGTTCTCGCGACTCTGGTCTTCGCACCTGGAGCCCAAGTGTTCGCCGACAGGGCCGTGTGCCTGGCACTTCGCCCGCGAAGAGGACGACGACGAACAGGCTCTGGACAGTGTAGACCTTGTGTTCCAAAGGACCACCCGAGGTGGGAAGACTGACGGTCGATTCTTTCGTGTTCTGCATTGCCCATGCGCAGGAGGCCGTCAGAGATGGAGTGACGCTCTCCGAAGCGGCGAGAAGAAGCAGCGGAACAAGTATTGTGCGCGCAGGTGCCTCATGTCTGCGTGGGTGCTGATCGCTAACTTAGGAGACGGCCACGATGTCGACAGGTGTTCAAAGCGGACGCTACAGGTGAGTGTTGTTGTGATTGGGTGGAATAAGAACGATTGTACATGATGAGCGCTACAGTCCGAGAAACCTTGGGACTTCGGCCACTCACCCATCTACATCTACTGGTCGCGCTGGAGGAGAGGGTGATTGCTCCAGACCGCAGCGTTATAAGCCTGCATCGCGATCAGCAATCAGCATCCCGCGCGCGCACACGAGGCACAAACCTCAGTAAAAGGCGCCATGAACGTCGGGTGCGCCGCGATCTCCTGCACGCACACCCTCACCCTCTTGTACTCGTCGTCGCCCATCAGCTCCTCCCAGGCTCCCACGCTTTCCTCCCCTCCTCCTCCGGGTACCGCCCCACGTCCCTCTCGAGCAGCCACACCGCGCGCACCACGTGCAGCCCCGCCACCATCTCCGCCATCCGCCACCCGCCCGCGACCCAGCCGGTCCCGGGCAGGTCCTCCTGCACGCTCGCGGACTCCGCGAGGAGCGCGCGCGGGAGCGCGCCCAGGAACGTGCTCCGGAACCCGTCCGCGAAGCCGGCCTCGAAGCGCGCGCCGCGAGCTTGGACGCGAGCTCGGACGTGGGCGGGAGAATGCGTGCGGCGGGGAGGACGTCCGCGAGGAACTCGAGGATCGCGTGCGACTCGGGGAGGATGAGCGTGCCCGCGGGCGGGTCGCGCGGGTCTCAGTCGGCGGGGACGTCGTATGCGATCGCCGGGATCTGGGGGGGCGCGAGCGGCGGGGAGGTCAGCGCGGGACGGGGGACGGTGGGGGAGAACGAGCGCGCGGACCTTCCCGAGGCGGTTGATCCGCGCGGCGTACCACGGCTCGCGCGGGGGGCGGACGTCGACCTTGCAGATCGTGTAGTCTGCGTGGGCATGCTCGAGAGCGAGGTGGATGCGCTGCGAAAAGTGCGAGGAGTCGCTCTGAGGGCGGAGTCAACGTGGTTGTGTGGAGAGGTTAGGAGACGGTACAGCACCATTCCTGCGTAGAGGATGATCTTCTTGGATTCGCTGACCATAGTGTATGTGGTGGCGATTAAGCTTCTAAGGCTGGAGAACGGGGTGGTTTGTAGGGAGGACTTCGTCGGGTTATATTATCTGCGTGGATTTGATCGCCCTACACGTCGATAATCAGCGCACCCAGCGGATCAGTCAAAAAAGCCGGGCGTCCTTAAGAGCCGCGCATGTGGGCCGAGACTCGCAGCCGTGCCTCTCGGGCTCTGAGCTCAGGCTGAGCGTAACGCCTAACGCAAATATCGAGGCAACAACGGACTTCATTAGGTGATACGGCTGAGATGTTGTCTCCCCTTGACCCGGTCGCGATGATATCGTCAAGCAGACGTGACTGCCAGAGGCTACCGCATCGACGCGCAAGTTCGCCAGCAACGCATCCCGAACAATTCTGCAGGGGTGCCAAAGCTTTCGTGGACCCCACGCATCCCGCCTCGGAGCCAAGTAAAGTTCGTACTTAGCACTACGAAGGTACTTAGGGGTTCTGGCATGAATTTATGGGCGAGAGGCGGGGCTCTCGGCAGATCCGGCCTCGCACCGCTGGACCATGCTGAGTCGGACGCCGGTCATGGCAGACGTGCGCCGATCCGGAGCGCGGTTACTCTGAGGGGCTACTATTACATCGACACAGTCGTCGAACCATTTGCACACGTCCCGTGCGGCGTGAACTAAGTCGACGTCGACACGACCACGGTGGCCGCAACGCAGAGAACCTAGAAGTGAAAGTGAGCAATGAACTAGGCGGTCCACAGGCCAGCGACAGAAAGTACCTCGCCGCTACGAATGTTCGAACAGACGCTGTTCACGTTCGGGTTGTTCTCCAAAATGAGCTCGACGGTCGTCCCCGTCGCCGCCGCGATGCTCACGCACGTCTCGTCCGTGACGACAGTATGGGTGAGCGTGCAGTCTTGGCCAACGACGCCGAGGCACAGCTCCTGCGAGGTGTTGTCGGCGTGAGCTCGAGAACTAACAGCAGCGGGAGGAGCAGCACACCTCGTCGGGGAAGAGGTTCTGGCAGGTCGAGTCGATGACCGGGTTCACGTTCGCGAGTTGGAAGCTCGACACGTTTTCCTTCTGGCAGATGGCGTCGCAGGTGTCCCCCGCGACGACGGTGTAGTTGCGCGAGCAGTCTGCCGCTGCCTGGGCGTTCGCTGGAGATGGGTGGGGGTCAGCCGGGCTCGTTCGGAGGTGATCAGCTCGAGCAGGGTGCTCACCGTGAAGAGCGGCGACCGCGAGGAGGGCGACGGAGCTGAGCGAACGGGAGAACATCTTGGAGCGAGGTGAAGGAGGGATTGAACCGCGGGCTCTGGGAGGGCGGAGCAGTGAAGTCCACGGCGAGCAAGCCAGAGCTTTTATGCTCCACCTCCCCCCACGTCTCCATCCATGAGACCACGTTCGTCTCGGGCTGATGACTCCGCCCGAGTACACGTACGAAAGCATCCTTCTATCGACGCTGGCGGTGCGCTCTCGCCTGCGTGGACGTATATATTTTTGAGTTTCGGGTCCGCAAGAATTGTCGGCGCTGATGGGGAAGGACAGATGGCTTGTCCGAAGAAGGCCGTTGAATGGCACAGCGTATATGGGTGCCTTGAACGTGACGGCACAGCCATGGTCCTAGGATGCGAAGTGTCATGCATGACTGGGGACGTTGGGAATGATATGCAGGGTCTGGATCATTGGGCCATGAGGCCTAAGATTGAACAAAGCAAAGATCAACGACAAATTCCATAGAGAATGGCAGTAGGTCGACATATATTCTGTGAGGGTCAACCACTTATGAAACTTTTGAAGGAACGAATGCATGCTTGTGAAGAATCGAGCAGTGGACGAAGAGAGCCGTAGAGGCGAAAGGACGCCGGATGACGGACAGGGTGTCGGATAGGACGACGATGGTGGATAGGATGATAGATTGGATATCGATCTAGGACGATACGGCGGCATAGTACTGTACAATGCGTGGGAACGTAGTATACATGACTAAGCATACTGGTAGTGCCTCGGATGAGGGCGTACACCGGGACACTAGGAACCAACAATGCTTACTTCAAATTGGTCTTAACACAGCTACAGCCTTTACTCCGTGTGCTCCGAGTCACGTCGGACACAACGGTGAGAGACAGCGCGCGCACATCAAACCGTCGCTTCGGGTTTCATGGGCAAAGACGATGGTAACTTAGGTCTGTCTGAAGGAGATGCGCATGAGTGCGATTGAACGTCATATTACAAGTGATTAGATTGCTCGAGACTGCCGGCGTCACCTCGCGCGCTACCCCTCCATCATTTCCTCGGGGGGCGCCCCACCGCCTCCACCGCCGCCGCCGCCGCCCTGCTCCCTGTCCTTGCGCGTGGCCTTGACAACGTCGTCGACGCGGAGCAGCACTCGCGCGGCCTCGATCGCGGTCTTGAGCGTCTGCACCTTGACGCTCGCAGACTCGTACAGGCCGTACGTCTTCATGTCCGCCACCTTGCCCGTTTCGCCGTTGATGCCCCACGAGTGCTCCCCGTTGGCGTGCTTTGCCTGCGCGCGACGTCAGAGAACGGATAGGAGAGGAGAGCGGAGAGGACGCACCCGGAGCTCGGTGAGCACGCGGATCGCGTTCCCACCCGAGTTCTGGACGAGCGTGCGCGGGATGACCTCCATCGCGTCCGCGACGGCGCGGAACGGCCAGCCCTCGACGCCCGTCACGCTCCGCGCCTTTTGCTGGAGCCCGACCGAGATCGCCATCTCCGTCGCGCCGCCGCCTGGTGCGAGCGTAGGGTCGAAGAAGACGTTGCGCGCGACGGACATCGCGTCCGCGAGATTCCGGTCGATCTCGTTCAGCACGTCCTTGGACGGCCCCCTGAGGAGCACCGTGCATGCTTGCGGCTCCTTGCACTGCGTGAGGAAGGTGAAGTACTCATCCCCGATCTTTTCGACCGAGAACAGCCCGCACTTGGTCCCGACGTCGGACGGGCGAAGGTCCTCGACGCGGTTTACGATCGTCGCGCCGACCGCGCGCGCGATCCGGTTGTTGTCCATTTTGCGCACCCGGCGGAGTGCGGTCACGTTCGCCTTGTAAAGGAAGTGCTGGGCATAGTCTGCGCGCGCGTGAGCGGCGGGGGAAGCAAGACGGCGGGACGTTGCGCACCTGAGACGCCCTTTTCGGTGATGACGAGGTCCGGCT